AATAGAAGAGAGCGACGAGATGTAAACATGAACTAACTCCAAGTTTTTGCCCGTTTTACACATTATGTATTCAAGAATGTGGATTACATTTGAGGCCAGAGCATGTATTCATATATAAGCATCGCGCATTCCATCATCGGCAGCCGCCCGTCTCGTGATCCGTTGCAAAATAATAATAATAACAGCAAAAAACACATACACACAGAGAGAGAGCAGCAGCAACAACAACAACAACACATGAACCATTCTTAATAATGACTAGACTTCGTGTATTCCCATTGTTATTTCTGGTGTTGCTGCTGCTGCTGTTGCTGCTGCTGTTATGATCGATGGCAAAGGCGAATGGTACTTTTTTGCGTTTCGACTATAAATCATGTCAGTTCGCCCCGTTTTACATAGAAACATGTCGTGTATACGATTGGGTGAACATGTGGTGGTTGCGAATGCGAGGAACAGTATGTATCCGCGCTCGCGTTTATCCGGACACACTCAATGTGGATGGATTGTATGGATGCTGATTCTTACATATTATTTCGAAAATCGATAATTCGGATGCGAATGTAGAATATTTTGAGACAAACAAATCGACAAATTACAACAACAGACCTCCACAGCCTCCTCACGGACACACGGCAAAGCAATCGATACGTTGCCTATTTACTGGAACTCGAGCACCATATCGTTTAATATTCACATGCATGGTGACATTTTTTCGTTTGTTCATACTGTTGCCTGCCATTAAATTGCCGGCATCAGCGAACACATTAATTTCCTTCACACGCACGCATATTTTGGCCCTTTGCTATTACGCGTCATTTTATAATATACATTAGGAACACAGGTACATTTTTTTTCTGTGCCCCAACTCCGAGTAAAATCATGTCCGATGCAATTTATATACAGAACAGGCACACCGCCGCATGCTAAGTACTACTTCGAAACCAGTTGACCTAAAAATTAAATTATTCCTCGGCCTCTGTGTGTGTATGGTGTATGCCTATTCGGTTTTTTCCATGCATTTCTTCTGATGATGTGACTTTAATACGAAAAATATGCTCAACATTCCAAAAGCATTGGCATTAAATGAAAACCAGTTGGAACGAAATAACGGCATATTATTTAATTCCATTTCAACAGTCTTTGTTTTTGTTCGTTTCGTGTTCAGCGCTTCAGAACGCAGTTACTTCAGAACAAAGGGAAAAATGCACGATATTTTTTTTCCATCAGCATAAATGATTGTGTTGTGCTGTTTAAGACAGGCAAAATTATCAACATCAAATAATTTCTTTTAAACGCCAAACGATTCATTGGGCAAATTGGTTCATTTCTCGTTCGGAATTGGCGTTGAATTCTTGTGAATTGACGATGTTCATCATTATGCGTGCATATTATGCGTTGTGTTTCGCTTGGCTGGTGATTTCGTTCGAAGAGATCAATCAATTTCATTTAATACAGTTTAACGATGGTTGGTTCGATCGATTTTTTTTTTGCTTCAGAGAACATTCTCGTCGAGAATATCTCGATGACCTTCCCTATTTAAAGCACAATTATTCCAAATTGGTGGATTTAAATCGAGTTTTCTCCGATCTTTGACCACGTAACAACAGCACACAATGGATGATTCCGATGAATGCACATTTCTAATTACTTTCGCAAGATGAGTGTGGAATATGGAAGTTGGATTTTTAATGATGCTCTCAAATGCGAGTATTAATCCATGGCGATTGATATGTTTCCAACGTTTGAATCCAATTAAAAACCAACTCAAACTCAATTTCATGGCTGTTGAGATGATGAGATGTGTTATGAATCATATCAGTTTGGAGAATTCGAGAAACAAAATAATCACTTTTCGGTTCCACGCAATTTTTTTTGTACTCCTTCACGGGCGATTTAAAATCATCACTTGATGAATTGGCATTCGTTAGTTGTGCCACTTGTGCACTGAGCTAGATAATAACCATAGGTGAATGTGTGTGATTTTAATTACGTGTATGTGATCATTTTTGTTGGAATTACCAAGCGGGCTAAATGTAAACTTCTTGTTCATATTTACCAATCGTAATCTATAAGTTGGATTGATTACGGTCTCTTATCTAATCGCAGTGAACCTTCAAAAGGTTTTCACTACGGCGAAAAATTGATGGCGATTGAAAGTTGTTATTGGTCATTTGCTGCTGGTGTTGTTGTTGTTGTTGTTGCTGTACACAAACTAGTGTAAACAAAATCCAACATTTCAATTTGTTCGTGAGAGCTAAAAATACACAATTTTACTATGAACGTGTTGGTTGGTGTCGTTTTTACAATTATTGCGAACAAATATAATACGTCAAAATGTTGGGCATGTTTATTTTATTTCAGAGACTATCATACGTTGTTATCGGAAACGATAGACAGGCTCATGAACCGTGCAAAAAAAAGAGAGACGAACGAAGGAACGAAACAAATGAAAAGCTTGCAAATTTTTTTTTCCCGTTGCCTGCAACTGTCATTCGATGTATATTGAGTGTTTGCCATTGCAAATGCACGAAACTGAAACGGCATGACATCGTATTTTGTTTCATTTGACCGATCAGCGAATAATAAAATGCGCACAAAGTGGGATCATGTAGGTGTATATGGCGTACATTTTATTGCGTGTTCAACTGCATTCGCAACAACGATGACGACGACGGCGGCGACACGATCGGCATCGAATTTTCAATATGACCTTGTTTTTGTATCACATTTCTCGAATGAGAGATTTTTTTCATTTCAATGTTCGTTCTGGTTATCGCTCTGCGTACCAGTTTTGTGTTTTTTTCCGTTTCTCTTCGTCCATATCTCCATGTGTCTCCCCATTTTACAGTTTATTTATTCTCACATTAAGCTCTCCGTTTGTCGTTTTAGTGTTGCTGTGTTTTTTTTTTCATCGTCGTCATCATGTATATATATTTTTATACCCTGACATTGCAATAATGTTTGAAATGTGTGCTCACTCGCAAATATAATGGATTTCATTTCTCTCTTTTTTTGCAAAAAGGGAAATGCACATAAAATCAACCGTATTTAAGAGAAGAAAAAAACTACCGTTGTCATGCATTTTGTATTCTGCTGTCGCTTACAGCATTTAATATTGCAACATAACATTTCGACGTGCATTTGCCTGCGGTGTGAAAGGGACCAGCCGATTCAGCTGCATTGTGTTACTGTAGTAATGCATTTCGTTTTTAATTTTTGGTCATATTTACGTACAAAAACATGATTTCGACGAATAAGAGAGTGAGTGAACCGAAGCCTCATTACCTAAAGGAAAAATACTGAAACAAACAACAACAACAAGAAGAATAACTATGCTAAACGATGCAAGCATGCGCAGCTGGTTTCAAATGCATGTGTATGCGTTACAAATGTGTGCATCATACGTCCCATTCTCTTTTGTTCGAATGTGAGTGTGTCGAAAGAGATCCTCGCACAGACAATGAATAGGAAACAGACGAAAGCAATCTCCTTTTGAAAAAACCATGGTTTCTTGTAGTATTTCTGGAATTTCTAAGCAAATACATGCACTACGAATTTAAATGCATTTCACATTTGTGTAAATGTGTGCGTGCGCTTCATTCTTTTGTCTTTTAGGTGCAGTGATCGGTTTCGTTACTGTGCCTGTTAATTATTGTTATTTCGAATTCCTTTTTTCTGCTTTTCGCTTTCTTGTGAATGATCGATGAACACTTTGCCCGAGAAAGGAACATTCGTGTGCGTGCGTATTGTGACGAGAGCGAAAAGGAAACAGATAGTTGTGTATGTGTGCATGCACATATACACACGGAGAGCAGGCAAATATGTGAAAGAACCTTTTTAGTGATGGCATACATGGCGAGAGAGTGAGAGGAAAAAAACACACGAATATATGTGTATATCAGGTACACCGTTTTGTTCATAAAAAAATTTCGGTTTCTCTTCTGTCTCTTTCGTTCTGTGCCTCATTTTGGTTTCTCTCTGTTTTTTCCATTAATCGACCCGAGTAAACACTCAGCAAATATTTTGAAGCGATAGTTATATTTTTACACTTTTCGAATACGATAAACCTTTTTCGGGTGCTCTCTGATCTCCACGAACCGAAAAAAATCTGAAAAATCATCAGAAATTATGTGCTAAAATTGGAGCGTTGTTTTGGTTTAGAATAAGAAATTGTCTAGTGTTTAATTTGTAGGTTTAGACGAGTGTGATAGTTGAATTTGCCGTTGTTTAATTTGACCCCAAAATGAAATTATTAAATACTCAATATGAAAACGAGTGTACAGCTGAATCAGAAAATGGTGCCGAAGTTTTGAATTTGTCAATGAAAAAGTAAGTGCTCGATTGTGATCATGATTTACATCGAAACTTTCCATGGAAGTCCAATATCAAGTGCTCGATGTAGATAGCCTATGTCATTAGGTCTAATCTATAAAAAAAATCCGACTTTCGAACGTGGCCACACAATGTATTTATGAAATTCGGATTATAAACTTCATAATCCATGTGATATATTGAAAGTGTACGGCTTTGGGCAGGTGATTTGGAATGAATAAAACCACACGAGAATTTATCGTTTATTTCAAAAAGGTGTGCCGTTATAATAAAGGCGATTTTGTGATACTGTATTTGTGTTGATGGAGACTTCATTTGGGTGTATGATTTTTTCGTAGAAAAAACACAAAATGTGAATTTGTGGTGCCTCACTTCCTACATTTGGACAATTTGAATTCGATACAAACGATAATCAACGAATTGTAACGGATTAAACCTATTTTGTTGGACTAAACTGGATGTAGAACCAAATATTGAATATTCACGTGTGCAGAGTTCTGATATCGGGCTTGTGCCTAAAACGATAAACTTATTACCATTATATTCTTTGAAGAAAAGATTGTTTGGATTGGCTTTAGTGTTGCTTGCTATTCAATTAGTAATAGTGAATTGATTACTTTGGTTTCATGTACTAATTGGAAACTTTATTGTTTTCTTTGTGAATACAGGCCTGTCGACACACCCCAACCATATAGCAAAGGACCACAGCCAACCCCAGCTGCATCACCTCAATCTTACAGAGTTCCAGCTCGAGAAGCGCCGATTAGATATGTTCAACAAAATCCATATGGAACAATGCAGGTAAGATGCATCATCCGAATCGAGAGAAATGCCATTGAATACGAATCTAATCGACATGCAATGTATCTAATGATAATGATTGAATTGTTGCAGACTTTTCGGGAAGCCCCATATGTACGCGTACCACAAGTGCCACAACAAGTTGAATATCGATCGGCTCCGATTTCAGTTCCAGCAAATATATCAATATCTCATGGTTTACCACCAACCAGTACGATTGAAACGGTTGCAAACAATGCATCGAATAGACCCCGCATCTCGCTGTTGCCTGAAGGTGAGTGTAGTTAATGAACAATAGCTTGGCATCGTAATTCAAATCGAAACCAAATTGATTTTCCCACTAATTTGCTCTCGTTCCTCATTCTCTTCCTCTCTTCCTCTCTCTCTCTCTTTCTCTTTCTCGCTTTGACAACAATTTGAAATGGACGCCACAATGATGAACAGATCGACGAATTCCAAGTGAATACTTGCCGGGCCGGCCACAACAAGCTGCTCCACCAGATCCTGGTGGACCGCCTGCATTTAAGAAAATTCGGCTCACCGAAAATCATTCACAATCACCGCCTCCTCTGCTGAAAGTCGATGTCCGAGATCCACCATCGACTGGTGCCTATCATCCGCAAGTGGAAGCCATATCGCCAACACCGCCAAACGATCCATCGGAAGAGCTGCGCGCCACCAAGGATGAGCTACTACAGAAAATCACAAAAGTGGATATGGAAATAAATAAGGCTGAAAAGACAATAGCAATGCTAAAAACAAAGCAGGCGTCACTCGAGGAGACCACCTCGAAACCGGCCAAAGCCGAAGAAAAACAAGAAGTACAACCGAAACATCGGAGTTTAGCGCAGAAAATTTATGCCGATAATCGAAAGAAAGCGAATGCGGCACATCAACAGATGGCAACGCTAGGCCCACCAGTCGAATTGCCTTTGTACAATCAACCATCGGACGTAGAAATTTGTAAAGAAATTATCCAACGGCATCAGTCGTTTAAATCTAGGCTTTTATTGCATTTGAAGAAACTTAAGTCTGAACGAGCAGCTAAAGACCAGGCACTGGTGGAAAAGTATTCGATATTGTCGCAGGAGTGGCTGCGTCGCGTCGAAAAAATCGAATCGAGTGCAAAGCGAAAGGCGAAAGATGCGAAAAATAGGGAATTTTTTGAAAAAGTCTTTACCGAATTACGGAAACAGCGTGAAGATAAGGAGCGATTCAATCGCGTCGGTTCACGCATCAAGTCGGAAGCTGACGTAGAGGAAATCATTGACGGGCTACAAGAACAGGTACGGTTCGATAAAAATATTTCCACCCAAAACAATTGACTAGATTTAAAATCACAAGCACTTGAAACCGTGTGCCATCGAATTGTGTTTCTGAATGATGATTTTTTTTTCTCTGGTATTTCAGGCAAACGAAGACAAGAAAATGCGCTCGTATGCAGTTATTCCGCCACTGATGCTAGACGCTAAACAGAAGCGATACGTATTTCACAATGAAAATGGAGCCGTCACCGAAATGGAAAACGACTTCAAGGTTTGTTGACACATTTCCGTTTTATTCTCTGCCCAAACTGGATTTCTCATGAGCTCTGTTCGCTTTGCTTTTGGTTCCGTTTCTTCTTTTCGTTTCGTTTTTGTTTTATTCGTTTCGTCCTCTGTTCTTTTTTGTGTATTTTCTTTGCCAACAGCAGGATCGGAAGAACTTGAATGTGTGGACAACCGGCGAAAAGGAAATTTTCAAAGAGAAATTTCTGCAACATCCGAAAAACTTTGGCGCCATTGCTGCTAGTCTGGATCGGAAGAGTGCACAAGATTGTGTGCGATACTACTACCTCAGCAAAAAAACAGAAAATTATAAACAATTGTTGCGAAAATCTCGTCAACGAACGCGAAGCTCCCGTAATCCAAACAAATCCAATCATACTCAATCTCAAAGCATTGTCGATGCAATGACAACTGGAGTAACAACGAGGTAAGATCATCTAAATGCGAGCAGCCCTCATTTTGAATGTAAACTAATAATTTATGACTTTTTTCTCGATAGATTGCAACGTGAACAACAACAAAAGACTGGTGCTCGTGCGACGAATTCAGCAAATATAACGCCACCACAAGTAACAACAGGCTCGACAACACCTCCGAATTCATTGCCATCTCAGTTTACGCCTCAAGTGCGCTGCCCTCCAGCCGAAAGCACAGCATCGACGATAGACTCAACCAACAATGTGGCTGATTCACCATCAACTGGTACGTATAGCTTCAGTTCTGCCATGCCGTGCAAGACACGATTTGCAATTGAAATGAAAACTTTATTGAAATTGCTCAACTTTTTGTTTGTCTCCATTGAATTTCTAGCATCAACAACGACAAATAATGTGAATGAAAGTGAAACGGTGTCAGTATCAGCTAAAGCCGGTGACACTGATAGCAGTGTGAAAAGCATGGATGTTGACATTGATAAAAATGATGAAACCGTTCGAGAGAAAACTGAGGGCACAGCAGCGAACACAACCCATTCTAGCTCACCAAGCGCGTTGCCAGCAGATGGCACGGCCTCAAGCGCAAACAATAGTGGAAATCCAGCCCAGACAATGGTTGCCGCCCCAACGACATCTGCCGCATCGAATACCAACTGCGCGAGCATTGTGAATACCGTAAATGGAGTAAAAACGGAAATCGTTACATCGTTGGCGAATAAAGCGACCGCATCGAATGCAACGTCGAACGAGAACGCACCACATTTGAATAACACAAATCAAGCGTCAGCCGTGGCGGCGGCACCAACGAACCCATCACCATCGTCATCTTCATCGTCATCGTCATCATCGTCGTCGTCGTCTGCATCATCCGAAAATGATACCGTGAAATTAGAGAACAACAACAAGGCTGTGGATACAAGTGTATCATCTGCTGTGAATACTGTTGCATCCAATGCAAACGAAGAAGATGAAAAATTAGACGAAAGGTAAGGAATTATCAATGATAACTCGATGCAGAGAAAATGAATAGAATCAATAGATACGCGAATGAAGTATATGTGGAACAAAAAACGAATCAGTAGTTTTCGAAAGTGCATTTTCATGCGAGAAAAGAATTCCCATTGAATTTGAATGAAGAAATCATTTTTTGAGAGCTGAAGGTTTTTTTCCAGCTACTGCTGCTGCTGCTGCTGCTGCTTCGTTCGAAAACAAATAGCATTTTCATGTATGGAAAACTCCGACGCACATTCATCTTTCAAATTGATATTTTTCTGTTTACATAAAAACCAATGATTCAAAAAGCTTCTTCTCTGAGCAAATATGAAAGATTCCTCTGTTCGCAAACTGAATGAGAGAGCAACACAAAAAATCGGCTGCATTTAAACCGCTTATGTGCACACACACACATTTTTTGGCCCGTGTGTGTGTCGAACTATACATTGACTCTTGCCGAAATCGCATACGCTCTTTTTTCCGTTCTTTTTCGCTCTGCCGTTTCGCTGGAACCTTTGCTCATCAGTTACGCTACTCTCGGCAAATTCCTAATCGAATTTAATTGAAATGCTATTTGCAAATACACATTTATTCCCTGTTCCTTTTTTCGTGATGGTGGGGCAAAAATCGAACGAACGAAAGAAAAACAAAGAATTATTCAAAACGAATGCAATTTAATCTACGGAAATTAAAACAGGAAAAAGATGTCGATTGATTACGATGCGATTTGTTTCTTTTTTTCCCCGTTATTCAGTTTAACGATGTCGAAAAACGGGATTGATTTTATTTTTATTTTCCCTTGAGCGGTTCAATCATATAAGCTATAATGTGTGGTAGATACTTTTTAATCGATTCGAAATTACTTGATTGATTGTTTGAAACAATTTGTTTAATGAAATAAAATTGTTTGTGTTTTTCAGTGAGGCAAAGAAGCGACGAAAAGATACATCCGAATCAACCGAGGACGATACAACCGTTGATAGCAAAGGTAAGTCAGAACCGTGTTCAATTTCAACAAATTAATTTGAAAATGTCCACCAGCAAGATAAACAATGTGAAAACCAAGGGGAGGAGGAGGGAAAAATCACCGTTTTTGAAACGGGACTGCGCTTTTTAACTAATTACAAAGTAAATCATTTTTTTTCCATTCGTCAAGTGACAATGACACACAAAATTTTCATTTTTTTCTCGTTTCTTCATCGATTCTACAAAGCAAAGAAGAAAACTCTTTATTTGGTTCCAAAATTTCATGGTTTTTTCTTTCTCTGATATGTATACATTCTATATTTGTGTTACAATGCATTGGGTGAACGACTAATTAAATTCAATTTTCTTCGTTGGCATGGCACAGTTTACGGTGTTTGTGCACAAAGTAGTAGCTGGGAAATTTGCTGCCGCACGTTTTACACGGATAATATTGAACGTTCATGTCAAGTGGTCGCACCTCACGTTTCACGTCAACACTCTGTGATATTGATGTTGATGAGGTCGTCGTCGTCGTTGTCGACGAATGCGATGATGTTGCAGCAACCGAGTTTGTTACACTTTTTGTTGACGAATTTTCACTTTTATTCACGCTCTGACCACCACCACCACTTTCGATTGAACTCTCAATCGATAACGGATTAATGTGCCGCTTGGCATGCTTCTGATAACAATACTGACTTTTAAATGTGTGCTTACAATAGACGCAATTGTACAGCTCTTCGGATTTCGTTGTTGCACTGGCGATGCAGTTATTTTTGCATTTTATGCGATCACTCTTTGATGATTTGTCGGTGCGATCGTGTACAACAATTTCTTCACTATTTTCGGAATCCGTTCGATCGGCTTCGATTGCTTGACGCTCCGATATGTTACGGGCCATTTGTAAGTGAAATGAGTTAGTCATGTGTGCTCTTTTGCGTTCAACGTGTTGCATTTGCTTTGCTGCGACGGTTGAACAAGTGTTCTGCGGGAAACGGCCGTATGCATCGTTTAGAACGCGTTGAAATCGTACAGGACCATCACAACTTGCCACATCAACGATAAACTTTTCGGATTCACCCACTTCTTGCAAACTTTCTTTTTCTTTTTCCACAATGTCGTCGTTTAAAGTGGGACTTTGCGACGAATTTGTTCGGCTGTGCGATCGCTTGCGAAATTTCGATGGTGGTTTAGCAATTAATTTCGTGTCATCCTTCAATTCTGGTTCAGGTGTCAATCGATCGACATCAACACTTTGCGATGTACTAGCTTCGGATGATTCACGATTCGTATTCTCTTCGACCACAATTTTCTCGTCGATTTTTCCATAACTCTCACACAGATCAACATTACTTGCGCCCATGGTTAAATTGATACTTTTAAACGGTGTATCATAACTTCCAAGTACAGGTTTTGTAACTGGTGGTGCAACGAATGCTAAGCCACCGCTTGTTGCTTTGCTTGCAATCGGTCGAACCACTTTGATTGCGTCACTTGATGCCAATGGCGATGGTGATGGTAACTTTTCGAAAAACCCATTACTCGAATATCCTTCCGATTGAATGCGTGCAAGAAAGCTGCGACAAATTTCCAATGCTCGTGGCATGTGCAACACATGCGTGGCCAACAGTACACCGAAAATGTTCTCAACATTCAAATCCAAAAATCCCGTGTACATGTACGTTAACAGCGGCGTGAAATGTTCAGCTGTTACATTTGGTACATAAATTGGACAGTCTTGAATGCGTTCGTCCGGCCGTAAAATCGATCTCAGATAGCCGCTGTGTGCCGCCAACAACGTACTGTGTGCAGCGAATCGTGAAAATGGCAATGGACCAATTTCTAGTATCACATCTGGTGCATTCGTTTGTAATGCTGATGCAGTCGTCGTTGTTGATGTTAACCAATTCGAAAACATTTCCCCAAAATTTCAATCGAATTCTCTCGAACAAATCGCCCAAAAATATCAATGAATACTAGTCGAGCTGAGTGAATTCAGTACAGCGGCTGAACAGACAGAAAGAGGTGAAAAATGATATCGATAACAGCGCGGAACGACAACAGCACATATGCACCACGTGCACAAGGTTCGAATATGAATTACCGAATGTATGTGTGATTCGCGGAAAGTCAAAACTGTAACTGGATCACTTTTTAGCCGTTGCTCATGATTTATATACCGAAAAGTCGGCGTGCTCTTCTTTTTTCCTCGTTCATTCGTGATGTACCACATCGCAATCCATATCGCACTACGGGAAAAATCTATTGAAACAGCATAGCAATGTTGAACAAATACACACACCGAGAGTGGAGAGGCGAAAAAAGAAGAGAAAAACACCACTGGCAAAGCAAACAATTGCACTCTACTGCGCATCATCAAAAAATATAATGTACCACTGACTGCTCGTAATAAAGTTAATCTGTAATGATCGGAATCATAAGCGATTCAAGTGCCCTGCAAAAATATAAATCACTCTTGCCCACTACACAACGCCGGTTGTGGTCGATGACGATGGGCCAAGGAAGAAATGAGAGAAAGAGAGAAATTTCATTACGCGCTGGCCGAAACAATGTTTCTTCAGTTTTAATTCAGACAAAACTGTTGTTATTCCAATGCGACGAATGCAAACCGAAGTGGAGAAATCAAAAATAATTGGCTAACTACCGCAAACCGCAACTTAAGATGGGTCACCCTTCGCATTTCGACGTTCGCTTTTATTTCATTTCAACATAATTAACAAACAAACCTCGAATATGAAGTGGCAATAGCAAATAGCAGAGGGTTTATTTGTTCGTTTTTTCTCTCTCTTTGCTTTGGATATATGTAGAGACAAATCAAAACACAACGAAAGGGGTGTGTATATATGTATACAAAAAGAAGACAAATCAGAAAAAAATAGGAATTCAAACAAATTTTTGTTGATTTTTCTTCGGGCATTCGATTTGAAGCCTCGGATTCGGCTAATTCCAACGATGAATCAATCTCGATTACTCTCGAGTCCGCTGCCACTCGTTAATAGCAAGAGTAATAGCATTGAACTGGGAGAGAGTGAGCATATGTTAACATTCCATATAATTCAAAATGTACACATGTTTCTTTGGTATGGGAACGCATGTTAAATGATATAAATTAAATTTGTCAATTAAAAATGTCGCTTTTTGTTCAGTTAAGCCTCTCACATACACATCAATGTTTATTTGCCGCCAAAGTTTGGTGTGTGTGTGTGTACTTTTTTTCTGTCTCGTTTATTATGAAAAATCAATTTTTGTCGTTGCAGCACAATGTGTGTGCACCCATAAATGGATTTTCATCGGTGAGCCAGCCGATTGAAATCGCTAGTTAATCAAAATGAAAATAAGCAAAATACACAATGCACACATCCACATTTCGAACGAATGGAAACAGTACTGCGCACATGTGTGTATGTTCATCTTTTTTTTTCAACGTGCATTCGTTTGCCACTGAAAAATGTCATACGTTGGAACACACGAATTTAAGTGACCGGTTTTTTTTCTGCCCATTTCTTTTCGGTTCCGTCTGATTTCAATTTTTGACTGCATTTTTATTCGAATTTGCTGAAATTAATTGGCTTCGAGTGCTCTGACATTCATATTTCATTTCATATTCACTGATTTTTATTTTCGATCATTTCGCGCTCGCTCGCGCGCACACATTCCACATTTCCAAATGCAAAGCGTTTTTTATTTATTTTGTGAATCCATTGAATTCATATTCGAATGTTATAAATATTCGATTAAATTGATTGATTGCATATTGAAATATACATTTTTGGAATCTATTTACTTTTCTCAATGATATTGTCCGTGCATCAGTACATGGTGTAAGGGGGGAAAATCAGAGCGATATTTATACTAAAATCAATTGGGATAATGGTTTTTCAAGCCAGAAATTTATTTTGCATTTCAAATTGCGAGTTCGCTCAAGGATTTTTTTGTTTCATTGATATCTAAAATTATGCGCCTTGAAATAGAATCTACTGAACACTCCACAAGAAATGGTAGAAGATATATTTGTTTTAATTGAATCAAGCCACTGTAACTGCACTACACGATTTCCATCTTATCCTGACTAATGAGTAGCGGTGTATGAGCGTCGTGTTGTGCATAATTTAATTCATACGCACCAATTAACACAATTAAGCTAAGTACTTGTGATTATATGATAAGATGGTAGCACCGCGAATTTAACTATGCGCTTATTATTTGTACTGCACTGATAATATTGACACAGCGAACTAAATGAAACTTATGAAATCTCCACACATTTTCCGAGTTTAGATAGTGGAAGACGAATGTTGAGGTAATGAGGGATATCGCATTTACTATGCATTTAAACATCCACTCACACTCATCACCTTTTTTCTCATTCAATTGAAATACATTTTATTCTGTGGTCGGATCATAGGGATTTGTGGGAATTAATAATGCCATTTGGATACAACGAAAATGGCAAAAGCCTCAATTACAATGTTGATAAACATAACCTTAGGCCCATAATTCATATCCATATGGAAATCGCGCATTTTCCAACCGAAAATCAATTATCGACACCAAACATATATTTAATGTTCAGCATTTTGCAGCAATAACATGGCCTCATTTGGGATTTTCGGTAATGCAATTTAACAAATGTTCGATGCCGTTCGATTAATTCCATGTGACAATTTAAACAGATACAAATGAATATCCATTGATCCGTTTGCAAAATGGAATTAGATCGATTTAGTTAAACATTTGCAATTTAAATTATACGAATTAACAGCCATTTGTGTAACCATTTGTAATTATTTATATACGTCAAAATGGTGCAATTATGCATAATTAAAAATGATGATCGAAAAACTATTGACCAGATCCATTGGCTCAAGTCTCATGTGAAGTCGAAACAAATAATATGATAAATTGGCCGGTCAGAGAAGGAAAAACAACAACAATTTATTCGATTAGCATATAAAGAGCGGAAAATGAAACAAATTATGGCCTAAAATTGCACCGCCAGGTAGAACATTCGTCCAAATTTTCTCTCTTACTCTCTCGCTCTCATTTTATTGGCCCAACGATTCAATTATTTATAGGCCCTAATGGCACTAAACATGTGTGTGCGAGGCACTTTCAATTAGTCAAGTTTATCCATTCGATTGCGTATCGAATGCGTTTTATTCTAATGAGCATGAATAATTTCGGTCGGTTTTATCAATTCCGACGAACCATTCAAATTTAATACATTTATTTTAAATTGAGAGCGAGTGCGGAGACACACAGAGAGAGAGAGAGAGAAAAAAAAAACACGATGGAATATTAGAATGGCCGATGGCGAGAGCAAATATTGGCCAAATAAACGCTTAATTAAATGAATGTCAATGAGTAGCGGCGGCGGCGGTGGTGGTTAGCCCGAAGGAGAGATAAACAATATGATAAATGTATTTCGATGTTATGAATTCGTGATGTGGTCGAAAACTGATTTTAATCTCAGAAAAATTTATTCTCATTAAAACATTTATCATCATTTTTTTCACCGTTACTCGACGAGCGCGCTTCACCAGAAAACGAACATTTTATGTTGGTGGTGGTGATGGTGGTATGGCCTGAAGATGAGACTTACTTGATTGTGCCTTCCGTTGTGATTTCATCGCTTGAACGAAACTCTCTAATGAATTAACCATGAAAAATTCATTTGCCAACGAAACGGTCCAAAATTAAATCTGTGCGGTGGTCTCGATTCGACAGAGAGCCAAAATACTTCCCGAAAATATTCGCGGGACGACCGGAAAAAAGTTGCGCTTTAAATGCCGAAGCATTCGCAGAATATCTCTGTCTTGATACATAATTTAGTATCATTGAAATTGATGACGTCCAACTAAACTGAGGGCAAAATGTTGACGTGAATCAATGTTTCTTCCATTTTTCCGCCTCAAATCAATTGCCGACTGACAAAAATGGTTCATCTCCAATTTAAAATCCAAAAATAACAAACACATTTCCACCATTTCCCATTCACAGTGCAAATGACATTAATAAAAAAACAACGAGCAAATCATTGGAATTTACATTAAGTGGAAATTATTTAAACATGATTAAATTGTTTCATTTGCTATCATTATAATCATCTTCGTCAGCATGTCAGACACGGTGATTAAACGCAAATATTAATCATTTTACTGTTAATTATTCATCATCGTTTAAAGCAAACAGCAACAACACAAAAAATAAACTACCCGCAAATTTAATTACGGTCAAATAAAATGTAGTTAAAATCATAACGTTTACTGTGCACGACCCTGTGTCATTGGAATATACCATAAATTGAATGTATTTATAATGACGTTCAAAATGTTTTGAGTTAAGTTTGGAATTTTTCTAATGTAATTGCTTTAAAATCATTTATTTGCCTGTTGATTGTGCTGATTTTAGAGTGCAACCCTTTTTTTCCAACCGCTTCAGATGTATAATGCTGCTGCAGCCAGTGCTGCTGGTTGGCTGGCGGTTCGCGACTTCCTTTTTAATAATTCATTCTTTGCATTTTCATTTTGAAGATAGAATTGCAGTTAAATGGGATTTTCATTGTGAATTCACAGTCAATGTTCCGTCAAAATACATATCAGCAGAGTATACACACTCAAAATATGTTTGGTTGGTCGCTGGATATGCAAAAGTGTATAATTCCTCTATTTCTTCTATCTCTTTCTGTCTCTTTCTGTCTCTCTCGCTCTCTCTCGCTCTCTCTTTCTCCATACCCAATAACAATGATTGCATTTTTCCAAGTATAACGTATTTTCAACCATTACTATAAGTGCTTCGACTATTTGCGTTTTACATTCGTAACTGTGAATTAAAATTCATTTCGTGCATATTTCATTATTTCATCCCGGCTCTTGTCTCCGTTTGTCTCTAACTGAATTTCATCTCTTGTTGACCGGTGCTACATCTGTGGCTAAATGTGTATTCTCTCTTCATCGTTTCACCTCTTCTCACAAACTCATGAATGCTTTGCAGAACATTTTTCATTGGCAAAACATGTTCGCCTGAAAAATGGATAAAAAAAACCTATTTTCGGTGTGTGTGTTTTTGTATGCGTTTTCCCACAAAATCGTTTAAATTTTAATTTAACTGTTATAAATGTGCATCCGCTGATCATCGATAACCTATTCCAAACTGAACAACATCTATTTTCGTCATTGTTTGCGCTTTTCGAGGCATCTAAATTGGATCAGCATAATCCTCTCTTGTTGAAATTTGCATAATCCGATTCAATTCATTTTTTCGTTCGTGTGTGTTTTCGCTTTTTCATTTTGCACTTTTGAATCATGGGCATACAATACATCAAACCTCATTTTCTGAATGGTCAATGCATGCTGAATAGGAAATTTAGACGCAAATCCAGTGTAATTTCGAATATATATATATATACCTATGCTATGTACCCAAACGATGTGCCACATATAATGCGAATACATATTCTGCATTTTCAAATGGTTTTCAGTCAAGAGAAAATGTATTTTCATTAAACCATCGAGCAGCAGCGGCGGCCGCCGCCGCAACACATTTCAAAATTAAAAGCGTTTGGTCATCACACGGGCTTGTTTTTGGCTACTGTGCCACATAAACACACATCGAACGGGACCATTTAGCTCAAAAACCGAAAATCAATCGAAAAACAATGAAATATTGTCGGCGATGCTTGATGCTGTGCTGCTGCTGCTGCTGTGTTGCTGTTGCCAATTAAACGAATCAATTAAATTGAAATGAATTAGCCCCAACCGTTTTTCATCCGAGTGCGAGCATTATTTATCCAAACAAATCCACCTTAACATAGTTGGGGAAAAGTGCCGAATTTCATTTTTATGCAAGGTAAAACCACATTTGCATTTCTATTTGAACTTCGCATCAAATATTCGGATTACAAGAAACCGACCAATAGGCTCCCCCGCGCTCTATCTCTCTCTCTGTCTCTCTATCTCTATTTCTCACTCTCTTGTTGAATTCGACAGGTAAAAATGTTATGGCAACTCATGTTTTCGAATCAATCGACACAATCTGATAAATTAATGTGAATAATTGATGTAATTGCTCAGCAAATGCCCTAATAAATGTTTGGCTTTTATTTTTGGAAAATTCCACTTCTTCTTTCACTTGGCTTCATTTAATTTGTTGAAAAGCAAAGCCAAGTATTATTCCATGGGATTTCATCCACAATCCAAAGACATACCGAAAAAAAATAAAACAAGAAGAAGATGAAGCACATTTCGACTTTTCTTGCTTAATAACGGAAATTAAATACTTGATGGCGAAAGCAAAGCGATTAATTAGTAAAAAAGCGTAAATTAGCAAGTCAGTGTTTTTGTTGGTCGTTTGTTCGTTTTGCTTGCGCTCGGTTTGTTTTACTTTCGAGATTCTGGATTTTGGAAAATTGCATTAAGGCAAAGATAAGTGCGGCGCACACGGTATATTTGCCGTGTGTTTCAACCAGAAGTAATCGTTCTATGTGGCTGTCATGTGTTGAAAATGATATCCGTATCGCTCGCTCTCTCGTTCAATCGCAGCCAAATTTCACATTCGTCATCAGAATAACTTGTGAACTCATCACAAACAGTTTACGTTGTTACGACGCGGCCAAACAAAATGGTTTAGAGAATGACGATTTTACATTACCCTCTCCCGAAAATCTGGTTATTTACACACGCGCGCGCGGTACCAAACCGGAGAACATTGATGGAAATGGTAATGTTTGCAAATCATTAGAATGAAACTGCCTGACAATGTGTTGTTTGATTTGTGAGAATGTCACTGTCTCGGTGGCACACAAAGCGAAACGGCAGAACTATAGTTTGACTCGACAGAGAAAAAACCCAAGAGGATTATGGGGTGTCATACACACACACACACACACAGAGAGAGAGAGAGAGAGAGAGAGAGAGAGAGAGAGAGAGAGAGATAAGCTGTCGATTCAATCCACTTATCTTGTGCGTTTTTTTCCTGTGCTCATTGTTCACCTTTCTTGTTCCTACCACACCGAAATGATGATCTATTTAACATCGTTAACAGTACAATCGGAGTGGAAATTTACTTTGTGCATTCCTTTTGAATTCGCTCATTTAACTTTTAAATTGTCAACTTCCATTTGCGATTTGCTGGGAAAATGAATTCGATATGACCACGGAAACATTTTTTCCGATTGTGTTTGTGTTTTTTTCGCCTTCCGTGCACAAGATAAGGGAAGAGAGAGTATGTCCCCAGTGATTTGCGCATCATCTGCACATTTGCATAGAACGTTGAAACGAACATTTGAATGAAGCATTTCAAATAATAGCAATGGTAGCTCGGTTCACTTTAACAACGATTCGTTGTCTGAATTTATGATGGTTCTAACGTCAAAGGCATTTAATATCCTAAGAAATACCCAGTTTATACTCGTTGTGTGTGTGTGTGTGTGTTCGTGTTCAGTTCAATTCGGACTGTGAGCTAATTTTAAACTCACTTTTCGAAATTGCCAGCGCACATTGTCCCATGGGAGACGACAATAAAGTAAACATTGTTTTCAAAGTCTATTTCAATTTTATGTGAAACATTCTTCCATGAATTACGCAATTGCTTCACTTTGATCTTCGTTGATTTACTGGGGCCACTTTTACACATCAATTGAAAAACTTATCCACGTTTTATTTGCTAAATTGCAATATTTTTAATGTTAAAGACAATTCACTTGAATTGCCCACAAAATCAATTGAAAAGATATAACTTTGCGAAAAACTTACACACATATATATTCAAACAAATTTAAATCATTGCACGCATAAATATTCATGCAAATTTTATCACCGAATGAAATCTATAATAAATAAATAACATACACGCGGTAGCGTGATGAAAATTTCACTTTTTGTAAAAACGGAATCTGATTTATCGAAATGCGGTACATGATTCAATTTTATTGCTTAGTTTTAAGTGTGTGTATGGTTGTCATTAATTTGTTTGAATAGATTGAATTTTTCACGATAAATTTTTGAACAAATACATAAACTGATTCGACTAGATGCTCAAGAGTATCGTTTGCTTTCATGTCGTCCAAGAAGTTTATTTAAGCGCGCACACACACACTCTATTTAATTTTGAGACAAGATTTCGGAAAACACATTCCAAGAGTAATTCGTAGTCAAGTGTTGTTTATCTTGCTGAGTCTTTGACAATGTTGCTTCAATTTTTTGAACATTTCGTTAATTATTTTCTTTCTTTTCTTCTCTCTTTTTGCAGATAAATTGCATCCGTGTTTCGTGTGCAAGGAGGAGAATTGTATGCGAACGCGACCATTGGAGAAGGGTCGTGGTCAACAGTACGGTATATCGGATGATGCAATTCCGGCCGGTGCTCGTGTTTGCAATACATGCCAATGTAAATCGGTGCGAAATCGGTATCCCAGCTGTCCACTGCCAACGTGTCCAAATCCCAAAGATCGTGTCAAACGATTTAGAAACTTACCGTCTCGACTATTCGAACTGGCACCGGAAATTCGTGAACCAATCGTGCAAGAATTTCAAATACCACCAAACGTTACGAAATGTTGTTCGGCTTGTTTGATAAAAATAAAACGGAAATTGGGTCCGCATTTGCTTGGCACAAATTTAACCGACGAAGAAATTGCCAAATTCAAAACATTGCTGCAAGACGTCGGACCAAAATGGTCACAACTGGCCGAAACATTGGGCAAAACAGCGGTTGCGCTAAAAAGTTTTTACTTTCATTACAAGAAAAAGTACTCGTTTGATTTGGCTGTGACTGAATACTATAAAACGCATCCGAGTGAGGAGCGTCGCGCTGCAATTACCGACGGTGATGAATCGGATTTGAGCACATCGTCATGCGATGAAAATGAGGGTGGCAGTGATACGGCATCCGTTGAAAGTCCCAAAACTACATTGAACACACAAACATCGTTATCGTCTGTGTCGAGCATAACAATCAAGAAGGAAGAGTCATCGGAATCAACAACGCCCGCCACAAATACAGATGATCGATTATTGCCGCCGGTTGCACAGCCACCGCGAAAGCAAAAAGTCGAAGAATACGATAGTTCAGCCACTGAAACGGCTGACGAAGAGAATGAAGCTTCGCCAGGCAATCGACACAGTCCAAAGGTGTTGCTTTATCCGAATCAAACAACAATTACCATGGTCCCGTCGTCAGTACAGAATGGACCACGCGAAATGATCAATCCAGAAATGACAAATGTTCGCGATGTTATGTTGAATGTGATAGAACGATCGCTGAAGACCAACCAACAGCCACCACCGAAACCAGCCATTTCCAAACCGAGTGTCCTCGATTCAAGGGCTGATATCACGTTTGTGCACGAATACCGAAACGACATCGGAAAACCACATCATATTTCAAGCATGGCAAACGTCACACAACCAACCGCACTGCCACGATCATCGAATCAAGAAGGATTGGCCACACTCTCTGTGGTGAATTCACACGGTCATTCGCAACAGGTGATGTCGCATCCACATTCGATTTCCAGTCAAATTGCCGCAACCATAACGCCCGTGCAAAGCCAAACAACGGCATCGAATCAAAATCAATCGTTAGCGGTACCAAAGTCCACCGTTCATGATGCTCAAAAAGAAAGTGTTGTGGTGTATTCGCGTGCCGAGGAGCCGCAAACACTTGATCTCAGCATCAAAAAACCGGTACGTGACAACTTCCCTCCGCCCGCTCACTCGAAACCAATTCCAGGCAGTAGCGTTACCATGTATCGCAGCGATCCACATGCACATGCCCAAACGCCACCATCAATTATCAACCCGAATCCAAACTACTTGAGTGCAATGTATGACCACAATCGACCATCGAAATCACCATCCATATTCATGTCAACAGTTCCAACGTCGATGCCAATATCACAACAACCACTCAATGCACAGCATAGCATTCAGAATATGCGTGTCCATCAGAATCCATCGATCCATTCTCAAGTGTCACAACAGGCGTCGGCTGCTTCACAGTCGAAATCGAAAACTGCACCAAAACTCAGTCCAAAGGTTACACAGCATCCCTCTAACAATCAACCAAGCGGTCACAAAGGTGAGATTCCATTCGAATTTGATATTATTCATTGTTTAAACCATGAAGTATTACGTATCAAACATGGTTGAGAGTGACAATTTTATGCTAAACATATTTTGCTCTCCCAATTTAGGTTCCATAACACACGGAACACCAGTAAATTCAAACAATCAACAGATTCTGATCCAAGGCCCAGCTACGCTGAGTCCACGATTTGATGGCATTCTACGGCAAACGCCACCATCTGGCGATAAACTCGGTTCAATCACCCAAGGAACACCAGTACATTTACCGCCACATCATTTGACCGACAAAGCACGAGTCTATGATTACTACAAGAACAGTCGACAGAGCCCGGCTCAACATCAGCCACCGCAACAACCATCACCGCAAGCAGGCACATTTGGTTCGCCATATCAAGTGCGACCATCCGGCCCGTATGCCATCGAACAGCCAACTCAGTTGAGCTCACGTCAAATAATCATGAACGATTTCATCACTTCCCAACAAATGCACGGTCAACAGTCTCGTGGACGTTCTGACAAAGAATCACCGTCACCGCGAAGCGCAAACGTCGCAGGTTCACCAGCTTCGTTATACTACGCGGAAAAGGAACAACAACGACAACGTGCTGAATACCTCAGCCGAGCATCACCAGCCGAACACATTAATAGGTAAACTAGTTTTGGAATCAACAAGAAATTGTTCGAAAATGAAAGTGGATTTTGAAATTGATTTTTTTTTAAACTTCGAATAGTACTCCAAGCCCACACAGAACACCACCACCACAGCGTCAGGGAGTGATCCAGCGTCACAATACCGGTGGTTCAAAGCCTCCAAGCCCGGCACCAAATCGTTTACATATTATACCACAACACCATTATGCAATGCCAGGTGAGCCAAATGAAAGTTTTTTCTTTAAATCAGCAATTCGAGTTTATTCGAAGAAGAAGAAGAAAATATGAATTGCATTCCTTTTCTAATGAATATTCCGATTTCGCTTCAGGTCATGAAGCGTTCTCTTCATTGGTCGATGTAGCAGTTCAACAACCATTGCTGCCAGTTCCTCACAAAGAAGAGAAGCGATCAAATGTTCCTGTTAGTGAGCCATCACAACATCATGAGCTCCGTTTTCATCCTCATCCTCATCAATTAGGTAAATGTTCAAGCCATTTCATCGATATTTAATATTTGGTTAGATGGGGAAAAAAGCAAGGAAACTAACACATTCTTCACTTCACAGCTGCTGCTCACGAGCAAATGGCGATGATCCATCAACAACAAATGCGAGCTGAAATGCAAAGAAGACACATTCAACAACAGGTAAGCTCAGAATGAAGATCAGATTTATTTTGTTTGGTACTGAAATTAATGCAAATAATTTTCGTGTAGGAAAGAGAAAGAGTAGACCGTGAGCGTGAGCAAAGAGAAAGAGAACGTGAACGTGAGCGTCACCATCAAGATCGAATGGAGCGTGAAAGACGTGAAGACCAATATCGACAGGTATAGTTATTGATCAAATAGTTGGATTTGGGTTTCGTCTAATCGCAAATATGTTTTCTTTTTTCAGCGGTCGGGTGATCGTTGGAAGTCACCGGAACGAGAACGTGCTGAGCGTGAAAGAGAACAAATTGTATTGGAAGCACAAGAACATGAACGAAGACGCTTGGTCAATGCTGCTGCTGCTGCTGCTGCTGCAGCTGCTAGCAACCATCCATTTATTCGAGATGGACAAAATATTCCGCGTGATAAGTAAGTTTGGGCAATTGAAATATTATCATACTTTGTGTGGTTTTAAGCTTACTTATACTTTCAAATTGTATCAATTCAGCCGAACCGGTAGACCAGATGGTAATCTAACTGCTGCAAGTCTAATCGATGCAATAATTACTCATCAAATAAATCAAACAGCAAATGATCCTCCGGTGTTGCGAGACGGTCATCGTCCACCATTTGTAAGTATTCCTAGAAACATTTGACCTATTCCAATTAACCCACCTTTCCGAATCGATTTCAATGACTAACACAATTCTTGATTAGTTTCCTGGTGGCAGAGATTTACATCAAGAAAATAATGGAAAATCACATTCGCCGAATGTGATCAACATCGATTTGGATTCGGATCGTCGAAATCCAGTTTTGACAAAGAGCATAACGCTTGGCGAACTAACGGATTCGATCATTGCTAAGGATTACAGTCCAAACCCGTTTCTGCCGTTGCGACAAACGGCATTCATGCAGTATCGTCCCGATCAAGCCGAAATCTGGAAAATGAACCGTCGGCTATCGCAAAAGGATGGAATCCCAGCGCCACAGGCACAACCTCAATCTCAATTGCCGCCACCACAATCGCATAATCAGGGCAAGCCATCGTCAAACTCAAAACTGGTAAGGAAATATGACAACGTTCATTTTAGATATGACTTTTATTCGTTCAGTAAAAACGAAAAATGTTTATGAAGAAAAAAAACGAAAATAGTGAATTTCTTCGAATTTGGCAGGCATTGCACGAGATAAACAGTAGTGCACGATCGGCGAGTCCACGCACCACCAAAGCATACCATGAATCGATAACACCTCCCGAAAACTATCACTACAGTGTACCAGTGTCTGCCCATTCGCGCGTTCCAACCCAGCCGGGATCCGGTCATCAGTTCGCACTCGATTGCTATGTTAAAAACCGAATAGTCGAAGCGATGCGCACTGAAGAGACGGATAAACGAGGCGAAGACGTACCCGAACAGCAGCGTCGTACACCTCAAGAGCGACCAACACCATCTTCGTCTGTTCATCACAGCAAAGATATTGATCGCAGCTCCACACCTGGCGATATGGTCATTGATGAGGAGTCGCAAGCGCGCCCAGCATCGGGCACAGCAGGTAAATACAAAGATTCACTTTCACTCTGAACAAATGGGTCTCTTCGAAAAAATTCAGCAAGTTTAAAAAAATTAACCGATTTTTCACATTTCAAATTGCAGATCGCAAAGAAAACTGGCCATCGTTCACATCGTCAACGTACGCGTATCCATTTAGTGCATTGAATGTGTCAAGTGCTGCGGCAAATTTACCGCCACCAATGAAATCGGCTCACGTTGAAAGTGATTCGGGATCAAGAAGTCAAGCACCACCACAAGAGCCAAAGCCCTTACTTTCCGCTCAATATGAAGCGCTCAGCGATGAAGACTAATGAAATGTTCAACCGTTTCATCCGAATTCACCTCGGTTCCATATTCAGTTGAATCTGACATATTCGTATGCTGCATGCATACACTGTCGATTTTCATTTCCAATTCATTCCATTTTTATTACATGCTAAACCATTTATATTGAATTGTAGATCAGCAACTCTCCTTTCAGAACAAAACCACCCAAGTTACATTTGAACGCCTTTTTATTGCAAAACATCAGCGCTTTGCTAATTCAAACGAAACATTTACACTCATTTTAGAATGGACAAATGACAACGACTAATCTAATGAAAAAAGAAATTAAACACTGAAAATGCAATTCCAGTAATCTATATACTGATTGGAACATAAAAAAAAACTTCATGAATTTATTACACGAAAAAACAAAGAAGATGGAGAAGAAGGAGAAGAATAAAAACATTTAACCATAATTAGTTACATTCAACATAAATGTAAAATTGTAACATTATTTTGAATCATTGTATAATATGTGCATTAGAGAAACAAAACAAACAAATGCTGAACCATCATCTCTCTGTCTCTCCATTCAAGAAGTGAAAACAAAAACGTACGTGAATGGTGAATTTTCGTTGTTTGTGGAATGTTTTGCCGTTCCAAAGTGTTCGCCAACCGATCTCTCGCCGTGTATGTATCACTGAACTTGCTCAGTGCAATTGGTGTTTGGATTATGCGTTTTGTGTCGATTTAATAATGAAGGTGAAAAGAAGAAAAGAAAGAAAAAAAACACTACAAAAATAAAATCATCTATATGAACAATTGGAACATGCAAATTTAACAAAAAGCCATTTAATGTTTGGATGCGATAAACAAAAGAACGAACTATAAGTTAAACCTAGACAAGAAACAAAAAAACACAAAAAAAACTAATTATTGAATAACAGAAAAAAAAACAAGCATAAATTTAGTGTAAAATGACAAAAAAAATCACTACAACAAAGTAACAACGTAGAAAAAAAAACACACACACACAGCAGTAAAATTGTGAGAAAAAAGAACTTATAAAACTAGCAAAGCCGATGCTATACTTGATGAAGAAAATGAGAAAAAAAATTGAATAAAAAAATGTTATATGGATAATAAGCCACTATATTATGTGCACATGTGTCAATGCATGTATACTTGTATGAACAACAACAACAACAACAAATGAGAAATAACTCCTGTAAATCTGTAAATTATGAATATTAAATATAATTTTTTTTTTAAAAAACATGATAAACTGTAATTTGCAAACAAAAAAGAAATTAAAAACAGTTTAGTTTTTATGCGATTATGAAGTACAGCGATAGCTGGACAACGAATTGTTTGAACGTTTTTTTTTCTGGATCGTCATTCGAACAAGTCGGTTGTCCAGCTCTTATTGTATTTTATTTACAATTATTATTGATTATTATTCTTATCATTAAATAAAACAAAAAAAATTGATGAATTAAAAAAATTATGATTATTAGTTTATCGTGAAGTTGACGACACGAAACAAAAACGAAACATTTAACACATTGGAGCTGAAAATAGGATGATAGAAAATATTTTACACCGAATGGCAAACAAAAACAACACTCATACCCTCATTTAAAAGAAAACACACACACACACATTTGCATACACCCACACAACCACTTAACAAAATGAGAAAAAAGGAGAAAAAAACGTTTAAAAAAATGCCGCTGCCGCATCCGTAGTTGTTAATTGCCTAGTTGAATGTGTTAGTTTTATATTCTCAGAATAAACATTATGTTTACAAGTAAATATTCCCTTGGCTTTTTCGTCCAAAATTCCAACCAGAAAAAGAAACACTGAATCAAACGAAACAGTATGCCATTCTCTTGGCAGCTCCTCTATAGTTCCAACTGTCGATTATTATCATTCAATGAAATGGTTCTTTGTTCTGTTTTTTTTTAAATTTCAAATAAGCAAATCATCGATTTTTCACCCTGTGTTCAAATCAAATTTAACTTTGTATCGAAATGATGATGGAAAAAAAACAATCAGCACACACACTCCCATTGAATAAAAAATTGGACGTCTTTTTTTCTGACGATTTCATTTTTTTCATTCTCTTTGATTTGCCCTTTTTTATATATACTTTTGTGTTGTTTAATTATAGTAGTGTTTTACAACACATGTTCAATATGTAAAATATAGAACTTCATGCAAACCGAATCGCAGCCACACACACAAACAAACACATACACACATCTTAGAAAGTTTATGTGCAAACTGCAGAACAGTCGTTTAAATAGTGTTTAATTAAAATAAAGGGAAAAAATTACACACAAAATCTATTGAAATGCATCCAATATATGGAAATCAACAAACAGACAAAACACATAGGGACTTTCACTCACTCCCGATAGGAAAACGAAAAGAAAAGAAGAAATTAAGAACAGAATTACACTGGTTCGCATTCAGAAACACAAACTCACACACACAACTACGATTATACTATAACTTACGTATGTATATTTGGATTAAATAATTGAAAACAAAAAAAAATATGGAAGAAAAACAAATATATATTAATTATAGTTATTAGATAGGTCACTTATAGAAGGAGGAGACACGTAAAAATGCAGAATTACTACTGAAAAATTGTATATATGTACACCTATGACAAAAAAAAAACAAGAATAAATAACATGCAAACATTTAAAAGAAACAAACGAACAATGAAGCAACGTTTCAATTTTATTTGGTTTTTCTCTCTTCGATTTGTTTTTTTTTAGCTTAGCGCAGTGGATTTATACTCACATTTTTTCCGTTTTTGATTTGTTCTCATTGGAATCACACACATGATTTTCTTTGTTCTCAAATTTGTTTTTAGATGGAAAAAATCAAAATTGGCATTCTGCCAGCTAAAACAATAGCTCTACATGTCATGTTGGGCTTTAAAATAATTTCTCCGAATGATTTGGACTGAGAGAATATTAAAAGGTTACGCTTAAAATTCATAATTCGTTTTGTAAAGAAAAAATCTCTATTTTTTATCAGGTAAATGCAATTGTTTTTGTTTTTGTTTTCTGCATAAAATTGGAAAGACAATTCGATTCGAATCGCACATTCAGGAAATTTTGATCTCACTTAAATATTTTTCAAATAATTTCCCACATATATTTCGAAACAAAAATAATTCATGCTACCATCTTGTTATAATTTTTTTTTTGATATAGCATTAGAGAAAATCTCCTCACAAAAAATCCATGATGGAAATTTATAAAAAAAAGCACAAGGCGTTAATATACGAAAAAAAGGGAGTTGAGTATGATATTTTTAAATTCATCAATCCGTCTAATTGAACAAAAAGAACTATCTAGATATTGATTGCAAATAAAAAGGTAAACAGAAAGAAAACATTGTAATACACAATTCAATAAATTCTTGAGAAAAACATAGACTTCAATGTTTTGTTGGTAAATCACATTTTGATTTATTTCTTTTAATTTGGTCGCATTTTCATAGTGCATCATAAATATGAGTTTATTAATAAAATAAATACTGACACTTGGGTGTTCTCTGAAACACGGTTTGTATTGAACGTTTGGATTTGATGAATGGGATTCATTTTTTATGATAACATTTGGATATTTATTTTTTTTGTCCCACGAAAACTTAATTTAACACATTTAATTTCAACGGGGTTTGTTTTTTTAGGGGAACCACGCGTTTGGAATAATTCGATTATAAGCAAGAATCTAATATTTGCATGATAAAAAAGCCCGTGTTGCCCCTAAGTTCTTTTCTAAATAAAATTACAAACAAAATGATAGAAAAACGACTAATTATTTCCTATTCAAGCATGTTCCTTATGACGAATCTTTTAAATGTTTACGTTCATGCCTTTTCATTTCGGGTTTTCGGTCGTGACTGAAATCGCACAATGGACACATGAATTTTTTTACGCCAAAATGTTGGAAGCAATGATTTTTTAGGGCTGTTTGCGTTAGTCCCGTGGTTTCGCACGAATCAAAGCAGCAGGTGAATCTTCGGGTTCCCTTTACCTTTTTCGCGTTGAATATTATTGCGTCAATGCATTCGTCGCATATGCATCGCGGCTGATGTTTCATCATAAAATTGGTTTTGTTTGGTTGATCGCCTGAACATGGATTTTGGTTTGGATGCTTTCTAATGCAAAATTCATGCGAAACTGTGGATTTGACGTGTAATCTGCATAGACAACACGTGCAACTTGGCGTTGATGATGACTTGTCGAGGTGCTCGAGCTGGTCTTGCTGCTCTTGCGACAAGTATTCGGAAATCGTGAAGTCACGTGAAAATTTCTTACCGATGGTCCGAACGCAATACTCCATGTACATTGTATTGATTACATTTTCATAATTTTGAAAATATGAATCATTGACTCGGATGCTGGATTCAGACTGTGTACTGTGATCAGCGGTTTGATCAGCAACAATGACGATGGTATCTTCAGTTGGATCTCCATCGATGAACACCGTAATTGAATCATCTTTTGTGCTGAGTTCACACCTCTTGGCTCCTGTTTGAAAAACGGAAATTTGACATTAATTCCTTGCTCCAATCGAACCAAATTTGTTTCATTCCTAAATAAAAATCATGGCCGAAAACTACAAATTAACTTACGTTCAGCAAATTTTCGTCGTAATATTCCAATCGGTGATTGTTGCCGAACTCTTTCAACCAAGCTCTCCCATGTTGGTGACGATACGGACGGATTTACAGTTGAAACCTTTCAATCAAAAACAAACGAATTAAAAACTGTTTTTGTTTGATTTATTGGAAAACGCAGAAAAATGCAATTTGCCAGAATGACGTTTGAACTTATTCATTTTAGTTCATTTTGGTTTGCAACAAAAAATGATAATGCCAACGCAATAAATCAAGTCGTTTGCAACGAATAATTCCAAACGTAACCTCAAAGTTTCGCTCCGAAGCGTCATGCATTTTTCTCTTCCATTCCAAATCTGCGCGAAATCGAAAATATTGATCATTTTGGCTAATTTTGTGATTGGTAATATGACTTTGAGCAAAAAATCTGAAATAATGCGAGTAAATGCAATGGAAATTTGATGTTTGCAGGTAAAACATGAACGACAACGGATACTTTGAGTGTTTATGTCACTTATTCTAGCTACATTTACGAAAAAGTGGGAAAAATAGTTCACCTGCTTATGAATATCAAGTGCACTTTTAGCGCACTTCCGATGTTGTTTTTTGTGAATGGTTGATGGTGTGAAATTCACTTTCCGCGCATTTTTCGTTTGTGCATTGCGTTTTCCCGGCTGCAGACCCATATTAACGGTTAAATTACAATAGAAACCAATTTATAACAACTTTTTTGGTAACTTTGAACCAATTTTCAACACTTGAAATATCAATGAAAAATGAATAGTTTAATTCAAGTGCATATACAAATTTTCTTTCTAAAACAAATGATTATTTCGGGCGAAAAAAAACTAAAAAGATGCGACACTAAAACATGCGATGCAATTGAACAATATCGAGTCTTTCTTAGAATAAGCACACAGTGATTTGGCGGATTTTGAATTCGTCACATTTCGATGTCAGTGCAAATCTGTTATGCCAAAGTACGGCTATTCACTTGCATGTGAGCCTCTGACACAAGCGAATCATCGTTCGGCGATGCTGTCGCTTGAACAAAAGAAGACAGCACGTCTAATGATGCGCATTAGAAAGGGAAGAGTACAAACAAAAGGACTAACAAATACAATTTCAATGTGTGTCGCTGTCGATAGCAACATGAGACGGTGAAAACTGCTGCTCGCGTCGATTGTACAAATTATTTACCATTTTCGTTCGAGCCGCCTTTTTTGGTACAAGTGTTTGTCAATTTACATCGACGCAATAGTGTTCAATACCAACACAGTCTGCGTACACCGCTTTCTCAGCGGTGAGTGTGGCGTGATGTCTGTTGGATAAGGGCTCACGCATACACAGAAAATGTACCGAAACAAAACTTGTGCGAGTTTTGTTCTTCTGTTCTAGCGACAGCATCGCTCATCCAAACATGTGTTTGTGTCGGAGACTCGCGCGCAAGGGAACATCGGTTTTTTTGCACAATACATTTGCATCGACGTCGAAATGTGATGAAATCAATATCGGTCAAATCACTGTGTGCTCATTCTTAGAGAAGATCCCAAATTGTACAGTTGCATCGCATGTTTTAGTGTCGCATCGTTTTAGTTTTTTTTCCGTCCAAAATACTCATTTGTTTTAGAAAGAAAATTTGTATATTACATTTAGTTAGACTGTTCATTTTTTATTTATATTTAAAGTGTTGAAAATTAGTTTAAAGTTACCAAAGTTGTCGTGATAAATTGGTTTCTATTATAATTTAACCGATATGAGTTCGAAGTCGAAGAAACGCAATGCACAAGCGAAAAATACACCGAATCCCACACATTCGACAGAAGAATTTAAAAAGCTGATGGAAGTATTCGAAACAGTGCAAGAGCATGAAGAACAACATCAGCAGTGCATTGAAGAGGCACTTGACATTTATAGACAGGTGAATTATTACTTTTTTCCCGCATTTTTCGTGAATTTAGCCAGAATAATTGACATAAGCATTCAAAGCATCCCTTTGTTATTCCTGTTTTAACCTAAAACATATTTTCATTGCATTTGCTAGCATTATTTTTGATTTTTTTTTTTTTTGATGTCATATTACCAATCACAGAATGAGCCGAAACGATCAATATTTCGTGCAAATTTAGTTGTAAAACGGAGGTTATGTCACAATGACTATAAATGCATTTGTCTCGCTGAGCATGAAAGCGGGAATACAGATCTATTACAGCAAAAACCGAACATGAAAAATTGCTTCTTAAAAACTTTACATGAATTTCCAACCAACACGAGTGTAACATGAGCTGCGGTCCCTAAAGTATTCTTATGATACATTTCAGCATGGCACAAGTTCATGTAACGTTTCTAAGAATCAAAGAGGCAAAGTAGCCGGCGCTCCGAAGTTTTCATACTAACTTCTTCTACATGGGAATATGGTCCAAAAACAGCCGAAAATCGATTTTTAAAAAAAAATTCGATTCTGATGCAGCATTTTGTGTGCCAATCCATTGGTTTTATCGGCACATCGAAATGCAAATGCTTAAGCTAAATAATGTATCATGAGAATACTGTAGCGACCGCAGCTCATGTTACACTCGTGTTGGTTGAAAATTCATGTAACGTTTTTAAGAAGCAATTGTTTCATGTTCGGTTCTTGCTGTAACAGATCTGTATTCCCATTTTTATGCTCAGCGACACGAATGCATTCTCATTTTTGCTACCTATTGCTTCTCGCGATATCATACATCACGATTTTCATGCATATTGTGGCATGTTTCCATGGTTAGAACGAATTATGCAAGTTTTCTTGGTGGTTTTGCTTGTACTGAGATAAGAATAAAGAACATATTTTGTCGTTGTATTGCCATTCCAGTGGTCGCACAAGGAATTCATGTACACAATTGTGCTTGGGATGAAAGAATGGATGCGTGTTGAATCGTTCGACCACACATATGCGCAGACGGGCTTGCGATTCCTTGCACGACTAGCGGTGTCCAATTACGCAAATGATCCAGACAACAAAATTGTCACATCCATCACAGAGTACCTGTTGGAGCATACAAGCATCAACGAGGTTGTGCGACAATTCATTTGTTATTTCATTTACTATCTGGTGCGGTACGCGAACATCTTGAAAGTTCCAATTGATGTGGATGCAATTGTGAGCTACATTATAACGGAGTCATACATACACGGTAGACAGTGGGAGGTACGTGAACAAGCGGCCAAAGTGTTGCTTCTGTTTCAAGATCGTCCAAACGCATTGGAAGCATTGCTAGAGCATTTATACCAAGATCCAAAAGCCGAAGTACGTCGTTTAATCATCAAGTCAATCCAATTCAGTGTTGAAACCGTGCCATACATATTGGACCGTCTTCAAGATATAAATGAAAATGTTCGTGTCGAGTTGTATAAGGATTTGATTGAACGAGATGTTCGAACGCTGACAAACGAACATCGTTGTCGGATTTTGAACAGTGCATACCACGATCATTCGAATAGTGTTCAAGAGGTCATCACCAATAGATTGATACCGAGTTGGCTACGAAGATACAACAATTCCTATTTGGCATTGCTGGCGGCTATCAAATTTGATGCCAACGATGAAGATATTAAAGGATTCTTACGCTTGTCCAAATACGTTTTGTTCAATTTGTTCAGAAAATTCACCAGGTCAGTTGAAGTCCCATTAAATGTTCCGAAAAGTATCCTATTTTGATTTCCATTCATGAATTTTATCTCAATGAAATGTCGACTCTTTCTCCCACACAGTGATGGCCACATCGAGAGACTGTGCGAGCAGCTTGGACTGAAAACCGATGGTGAATTCGTCCATTGCATGCCATTCGATCGTTTAAGCCTGGGAATGCTTATCTTTTGGTGGCTTTTGATTCAGTTTGGCCGCCACGAAACCGAGGACCAGAGTCCCGTTGAGCAGATCATGAGTGATGTCGACCCATTCTGCAAATATATTCAAGCATTTTTATCGCGTATGGATAACAAGAATCCCGATGATTGGACGCAAAATGGTTACAAATTGCAGATTCTCATCGAAATACTGCACGAACTCCATGTAGATGAATTCGGCAGAAAATCACTGGGTGATTTCGTTTCCAACACATTGTTGAACGAAACACAAGTGCTCAACGAAACAACCATCTCTGGTTTGGTAAAATGCGCAGAGAAAAGCGTTCGAAACGACATTCTTGGCCAGTATTTTTCCGAGATTCTACGTGGCATATGCGATAAAATTCCATCAATTGATCAGAAAATCGATGAAATCATCGAATTGATACAAAATGATGATCTCAAACTGCGCATCACTCAAATTAAATCTCAGATTCTGGAGCTGAAAGAAGAAGCGGATAGTTCGATAAATGAAAGCAACTATCGCCAACTACGTACAGTTCGGCATCAAATCAAGGAGCTTCGAATTCAAATCGTGGACATTTGTCGCGATTATTGTGCATATGATCACGAAAAAGATATCGATATAAGTGCATACGAGCTGTCAACCGAAGAAATCATCAAGTGTCTACAGATCTTCTTCTACAGCTGCCATTCGATCAAATCAACTAGAGCCCCGCCGGAAATGATATTTTTTTATGGCGACTTCGTTTATCGTAAGTAGTTATCCAGATAAGATTGTTCCAAACACCGTTCGAGTCATCATATTTGTTGCTATACTTAATTCTTTCCCATTTTCATTTCACTCACAGAACAATTAGATGCCGAAAACTTGGACGTTCGCGGCTGGGCATTAAAATGCAATGCATCGTTTGCGCTGCGATTCGACATTGCATTGTACGAAGGAATTGAGGCTTGCTATAACCAATTTCTGTTGAACAACGAACCAACGCTGTGGTCGATTTCGGTAACTTATTTCTATTTGATGAAATTTTTTGTATAGTAACGATAATATCTATTTAGGTGACGACAATTTGTGAATTGTTAGACAAGCATCGGGTAGAATTTCAAGTGCCACACATTTTAGCCGACACAAATGATGGAAATCTCGTCAACATGACGGATTTTCTATTTGATATACTCACTCGAATCCAGCATGAGGAAATCAAAAATTCATTGATCATCGGATTGTGTCGGTTGATTCTCAGCAACATTATCACTGATAAAGAAAAGATTGCATTTATGTTGGTTGAAATGTTCAACCCAGAAGCGTATCCATCATCACAGCAGATATTGTCGCAGTTTGTCGAGAGCTTGACTAAGTTGAAATGCCACAGCCGTTTGATATCAGCGTTGGGGCCAGCACTTGAGCTCATCTCAAAGTCTGGACAAAAAATAAAATTCAAAGACATCATCACATTCCTGATTGCGATCACTATACCGGAACTACCGCATGTAACTTCGATTTGGCACAATCAACTTGCCATCGAACTGGCAAAACTGATGCTTCAGGGATATGATCCGAAATTGATGAATATAATTCGCGATAAACTCAAAGTTGATGTCAACGATGAATTCAAGCAGCAAATCCGACCACTTTTGGCCGAATTATTGCGAAAATTGCCGGAACAATCGAAGCAAAGCGTAAAGGCAATCTGGAAAAAACTTGGATTCAAAAATTCTGATCTTAATGCTGTTCAACCATCATCATCGCCGTCGGCGACAACAAGCTCCAGCTCAATGGTATTAACCGAACAAAGTTCGCCACAAAGTGGAAGCGCACCAGACAGTACGGGCGCAACCAGAGCGAGCCTAAATCGGTGTTTGGGTTCCAATCGAACCAGCTCAGTTTCAACGCGAAACAAAACAATCGTCAACGACGAGAATGCAGCCCAGCCAAAAAGTAAAGCAGATCGATCTCAGGTAAAAATCGTTATCCCATTCAATTTACTTAGCTAATTTGACCAAAAAAAAACAGAAACCACTAAATATATCGTCCATTTTCCGATTTGCAGCGTGCTAACACTGGTCCAACTCGCAGAGCGTTCGGTAACCGTGCAAACATTTGATGATTCTACGTCTTCCGCTGGAATAAGGAAAACATTTTACCACATTTTTGTTGGTTATATTTCGATATTTGCATTCATCACAAGTCAATTGTATCAATTTTCCATTCAATTCAATGTTATACAACAAAATTGTAAATACATGGAATTGGTTTTTCGAAAAAAAAGTTCATATGAGAAACCATTCGGCATGAAAAATCATTCGTTATCGATTGCCCATGTTAAAATAGATGCAAGAATCGAACGAAAGCATTAGAAATTTAAAGGGGTTGTGCACTTTCAATATGTATACGAAAATTTTATGAATGACTGCACTGCTCAATGGCGAGTCGTTATCCAAATAGAATACGTTCGGTGTATGTTTGAATCAAGATCACACATTTGTCCAAATTTGCCGCATTGAAGTATGTATCGTTCACAAAAAGCTATGTACTGCATTGGTCTGCACGCGGTACACAATGTAAGATACATGCGCAATCACACGGAAAATTCGTATTTCAATGTGTATAGTACAAACAAAAAGGCAACCCAAAGCTCCAAAAGATACATAGAATAAAAAGCAATCAAGTTCTCTCGGCTTAGAAACACATGGTTTCACCCGTTTTGTGTACGGCACTTACCTATGTCACACATTCATTTTATTTCGTTACGTTTTCCATGTTGCTTCAGACTCGCTATTTTGTGCATGTCTCTGTGTGTCGTCTTCTCTTTTTGTGTTTACGAAAGCTCTCCGCGCGTCGTTTACACATTGTAGAAACGTTGTTTCGCTTTATGACGGTGCTTCTTTCGAGCGCCAGTGAAAAATTCTCAATTTCGTCTTCAACAACAACAACAGCAGCAGCAGCAGCAAATGATTTTTCGGCTGTCGCCAGTTGAGCGAACGACACACGTTCACTTAGTTTGCTCTTGTCGTTACGTTCAATCAGACACTCTCTTGCCTGTTCTTCGACCTTTTCATCGATTTTCAAAGGGAACACAACAAAATATTTCACATTTTTTTATAACCAGAATTGTCTTACATTTTCTTAAGAACGACAGAGCAAATTGAACACATCTCAGGAGGAATTCATATGTGGCTTTGAAATGTAAGTAGAATTGTTTGTTTTTCTTTGCAATTGTCATTAACATTTCATCAATCGTGGATTGAAATAGGGATTCTTGAACGAAAGGAAAATTCGAGATTGCTTTGTTGAAGTGTTCAGTGTTTGTATGAAAGAAAATTCTAAATCCTAATTGTTAAACATTTTATTTCTTGTGAAAAAAAATCGAATGGATTTTTGAATCCAAGAAGTATTCAGTGAGAAACTGAGTACAAAATAAACTTGTGTACAAAAAAAATCGATAAGCCCCAGCGAGACAAACGCATGTTTGCTCCAAATAAATGTTCTGTACCAATTTTGAAGTCAAAATGCTGATAATAACACATTAAAAATAAATCCATCGAATTTCTCCACCAAAATCCTTTCCGATCGAATGAAATTATGGATTTTTCTCCAGCTTCGTGAAACAGTGAGAAGGTGTTTGTTCTACAAAGAGTTAAAGCATTCAATTTTCCAACCGAAGTAGCATGTAATATATAATTGGATATGATGTTATAGAATAGGTACTTTTTATCCATCTCAAGCGCTCTGCTGTTTGACTACAATTCACAACCTGGTTAGCCTTTAGCTTGAAATATGCAATGTATGATATTTCCGTGATGAGAACAACATTCTATCGCATATGGTTCTAGTAAGCAAATTATCCTTAAGTTATCAACCGGTTGTGTTGTGGTGATGCACACGTGGGTAAACACAGCGTGATTGCTGTGAATGGTGTCGACGAAGAACGTGCTTGATTTTCGACGTCAAACTATGGCACAAGTTCCATCTCGTTTTCATTAAACTTTTGAACGTGAGAGTCGAACTTTGTCTTTTGTATGCAAGTCAGTTGATTTTGCCATATCGATAATGAGTAAACATTATGATGTACGTGTTTCGGTGTTTTTTCTTTTGTTTTTGTCGGCGGTTTATAAATGCAGAGCGAATGTGTGAACGTGTTTTGTGAATTCTGGATCATTATACTTAAACAAGAATTCAAGATTCCGAAAAATTGCTGGTTTTATCACAATGTATTAATTTTATTGGTTTTCATTTCTCACTCCGACCGCAACGGAATTCAATTTTCCATTTCAAGAACCGTCTGATTTATATAAATACAAATGAGAATACGGAAAAGAATGAATTTATCAAGATATTTGTTTCGAAACGAAAAGTTTAACCGGTCAATGAATTGATGGGCTGCTTTGGTTGTTGTTGTTCTGGTGTTTTTTTTGTGGATTACGAATAGTGTATGGTTTTTTTTTATTGTGATTTCAGATGTCAAGTTTACGGGCGAGTACGATTATTTTGATATGCGCGTTGTGCGTGGTCGTCGAATCGGCTGTCTTGATCTCTGACATTGGCATGCATCGAATGATCGAGTTGAATTCGAAGCGACCATTTTGTAAGTCGCATGTAGATAGGTGAGAATGTAGAAATTTGGATTTCAAAACAGTTTGCCATCCATAAATCAAAAACCGTTTAACCGTTTTTTAAACTTCGGTTTTGTAATTGATAATCCAGAGGCGACATCCAAAGAATGCTTCTGGCGTCTGATCAACGGCGTGTTCGTTACGTTCCGTTGGAGGTGATTGAGGCTTTGGAGAAAGAATGCAAAGAAGTTGGTGGTCTACAGCCAGAGATTCAAGGGGGCTTGGCATTCATTTATCCAGGAACGAAATGGTAATTAAATCGAATGAAATAATAGCATCTTCCGAACAAACAAAAATTGATGAAACAATTAATCAAACTCATTATCATTTTTTGTTCATTACAGGTGTGGACCAGGTTGGTAAAGTGTTGTAAATTCGAATTCAATTCTTCAATCATCGCACGCATCGAATCGCTACCGTGACACTGTGTGTTCACTTTCGGACAATTCGCACATTGGCGTTGAGAAAACACGTTTTAGCTAATGGAAATAAGTAGCATTATTAACAAAAGATCGCAAACAAATTTAACCTTCACGGTGACGTCGTTGTTGTTGTTGTTGTTATTACGTGTGTGTGCCGGTTACGCGAAGCCATCTGAATTTAGTTGAATGCAAACCGCGTAAACATTCGACGAATCATCGTCAAATAGAGCAATAACATTGTTGCATGGCTTCTGTTTGTATAGAACCTTCTTTTTTTCCCGAGTGTGTGTAAATGAAACATTAACATTTCCATGGCCGTTATCATTTTCGTAGATTCATTTATTGTTCCGTAGTTGATGAATTTCTTTTTAAAAGCATTCTGCGGCTATCAATAGATGGCATTCAAACGGTAAATCATTATCGTATATTTTGACATTATATAATAGCATTTAGCGTGTGTGTTTGTAACAAGCAGACGATTATGTATGCTGACATATGCTAAATGCGATCGAAACCGGTAATTGTTAGATCAAACATCCAAACAAAAAATTAAGACACACATCTGTTGGGCCAAACAGTGGTCTTGGTATAATTCATAGACATCTTTTTTATTTGATAACAACAACGAAGAATCATCGAATGATTCTACATTTTATGGTTAATTTATCTGTTTTTTTCGGTTTCAATCATCCAAAGGTTCGATAGCAACGGAGTACAGTGACGTGGGAAGATATGCCGAAGAAGATCGGTGCTGGTAAGGATGCGACTAGATTGAATATTTAGAATTTTTTGCTTTTATTTAAACAAATATATTCTTTTGGCTTTAATGACTCTGTGATCGCACGACTGCCGGCGCGCTTATTAATTTTTGCTGCTGATTACCTCTGAATCAACCAAAATTTGTGAATGTGAATCAACCAAAATTAAGCCGTGAACATGACCTCTGTCCGAACCAGTTGTCACCGGGCGAATGCAAACGTGGCCTTTGCAACCAGCAACCCTTTACTCGATCGCATTGCGACTGTGACATAAAGTTTCGACGTTGCTTACAACAACTAAATACAGGTAATCGCATTCAATTCAAAACACTCAATCTTCACGTCATAACGACGAGTCAATGGACGAATGATGTGCGTAATATCTGCGGTTTCATATCAAACACTATTCATGCACACACAAAAGAGATTCAAGCAATTGACCTTTCGATAATGATTGCATAAACGATTTGAACAAACATACGAAAACCGACAACCACAACAAACAGGAAAAATGCTACAAAAAAACCATTCATATTTTGGTAGGCATAAAATTGTAGGTTTAAATGTAGCGTTTTCTATCTGGCGTATTTAACTGCGTGTGGAATGCAATATCAGCAGCCTCCCATGATAATCGTCAAATGAATCAGCAATGAAAAACATATTCGAACTTGAAATACGATTACACAAAATGTGACCCATTTATTTAATTAGATTTTGTTTCCAAATTTTGTATGAAAAGATTTCTGAGCTTCTTTAACACGTGTATGAATTTTATTGGGCTTAAACTGGCCTAAAATGTGATTATCGTTAATTTTACCAAAGACATTTACATCGAGCCAATTCAATCTTCTTTTTCGTTCACGCGTATCTTTTCTTTACGCATTTTTCCTTGTAGAAACAGCAAACACTCTTGGTGCCGTGTTCTTTAACGTCGTTCAAGTCACATGCTTTAAAGGTAAGGATGCGTCGATTGAATATTTGGAATTCTTTGCTTTTATTGAAACAAATATATATATATTTATTTTCGGCATAAAATTACCCTGTGATTGCACGACTGCCTGCACGCCTTTTGATTTTTGTTGCTGATTGAAGAACGGCGCCCTTGTTCGACTCACCAAAGGTAAAATAGAAATTAGTTTTTCGTTTTTTTTTCCTTTTTATAAATCCAATTTATTTTCTGTTAATTTTTTTTGTTGATTTTTTATTTTAATTATGTTTTTTTAGTTCTCAATCGTATTGTCCATTTGAATTTTATAAATCGGAATCATTTATATCGGTGCCGCTTTTATCGGCGCTCAATTCGGGTCATTTCAAGCCGGCTGTGCAGCCACCAAATTCAGTAATTGAATCAAGATCGTTGCATTTGAATGGAGCTCGTTCGCTTGGCTCTGATTACACCAGAGAAAATTCAGCCGAACTTGAAAACTCGATTCGATTCGCTTCATTGGGCTTAGCCGCGAAAAACATCTTTCAAGATATGGTTGTCCGGCGAGTTGTTGGCTTCACACGGCTCTTGAAATTGGCTTCAAATATCTGGGATAGTTGAAATTTCGAGAAATCGGGCACAACTGAAACTCGAATCCGAAGTTCCGATTCCGAACAAACACCTTCAGCAATTCATCGAATACAATCAGCTAGATATAAGTAGAATTTACGAATAATCGATATCTTAAGTTCCTCTAATTCGATATTGTTTTAAATATTGAATAAATCCGTAGTTTTTTTTTCTGCCTAATTTTTTGTATTCTTCGCTTTTATGTTTTCTTCTTGATTTTTTTTTACAAATTTATGACGTGAATTTCATGCAGAAGACTACATATTCTCAAAAAATAAAAATTACATCTCCTTTGTATTTCCAAATGCTTTTCTTCGTTTTCTAGAGTCGGCTACAACAAAACGAAAGTCGATGAGATGTGCTCGCAGTGGAAATATCGTCCATCGGAAAAGTACATTCCAAGCATTCAATACAAATAAACAATCCGAATGGAACGATATCTACCTTATGACCTTCTCAGCGCATAATAATGCTTTAATCCAATGCAATTGATCGATTAGAACTTAGGATGATATTGGCCATTTCTACAAATGACGTCAACCAAATGCATTTGACAACATATAGCCTTTCAAATCAAATTATACCTCTTTTTAATCAAAGTGCAGTAAGTTTATGACCGATATGGGAGCGAAATTCAATTGAAAATATATTAGAAACTCACTTTGCTCAATACAAAAATATCATTGTTATTTGAAAACAAATTATTTTATTTACCCCATTCTATACAATATATTGATTCATAATCGCCATAAAGACAATTCCGGTTTTCATTTGATAACTGTTGTTTCGGTGTGGAGCTGAATGAAGTCGTCTTAATTCAGCGTAAGTACTGCTTGGGGAAGGCAAATTTTTAAATATCTTTGACCGTCTCCATCTGCGTCTGTGAAACTTCCATATGATACTTAGCTTTACAAATATACATTGGTATGTCTTTATTCTCATTCGAATACAATCATTTGCATAAGACTGCAACACAAAAATAAGAATGAAGAAGAGTTATAAATTTGTTCATTCATTTGATGGACTATTGTAGCAAACTAATTGAATTCCATTTTTTTCCAAAAAAAATTGAAAAAAAAATTATTGCCTTGGAAAACACGTCAAAGCTCAATCGATCTGTTTTTTTTCTGGTGCAAACATTCAAATTAAATTGAAATCGAACATCTTTAAGAATTTCTATCCCAAATAGATATGCCATATGCCATCGATAATTCGTCGAAAATTGAAAGAAAGTAAGGAGATCGGTCGTTTCTTTCTTGCTCCTACACCACATACTGTGTGGCACTGACATTTATCTTAATTGAGATAGCAGCTGTAGCTGCGATCACTTTGCAAGTTTATTTTTTTCGCTGATCGTGTTCGTTTTTGTGTTCAAGTGTTTGGGGCAGTTAAAACCACATCATAAATTGTGTCATCCAAATGATAGAAGCCGGTATTGAATTTCGCACTGAAGATGTTGTGACGGATCCATGCAAAGTGTTTGTGCAGATATTTAAATTATGAGTTAGTCATAAATGCAAATTAAGTCAAAATAAACATATAAAAATCACACTCACGGGAGGTTGACAGGTCAACAATTTTTTATTTACGATCAATCAATGCAAGATGGTGCGAATTCCAAATTGAGCCAAAAATCATCTGAATTTAATTTGAGAGAGAGATATCTTTTAGTAAAAATCAATCACCAAAGACGGTTGTGAAAAAAATGTAAATGAATAATCGCACCCCATGGCATGAGATTTTAATCAAAACTGTTGTGCCTATTTACAGTCTAGTTTTATAAAACTTTATCGAACAAAATCGCAAAATTATTCCATCGTATGTAATAAAATTTAAGGTTTTATTGCTCGATTTCCGCAGCCGATTTGCATTAGAGATGAAATGTGAGAAGCCACCGGGAGTGGCTGCGATAAAAATTGAATAACATCTTGAAGATTGAAAGATACGATTCCGATTTGACGCGTATTTTTCAGCCGAAAATAGCATTTCAACATTCCGTAAATGTACGTGAAAAAAAATGTGCCAATAAAATAATTTTTCGGGTCCGTGAACAAAGACGGTGATTTATAAAGTTGCTACTTCGCATTACTGATGAGTCAAAGCAACGCTCGCAATTGTGCGATATAAAAGCGTAAAATTACATCTCAATCAATGAGCGTTAAACATGATTCTTGACGTACGTGTGTTTCTTTTCGGTCGGACCAAATTATTTGCAATTTTTTCCTCTTTCAATGGAGATCATGTGCAGAGAGACAATCTAGCACATGATAACTTAATTACATAAAGAAAATAATGACAATGAGTGAACAGAAATTGAAAAAAAAAACTGAAAACAACAACAGCGGCAAGTATTTTTCTTCCAATGGCACAAAACTCAGTCACAGAAACTGCAACAAAAATAGCAACAACAAAAAAACATACAATCAAATGAATTAAATATGCACACAAACGACAACAAGCGTGTGCGCGCGCTCGCGAAACGTATGATTCATTGAAAATTAAATGACACCAGATTGTCTAGTTTTCAGCATTTGTTGTGCTGGTGTTTGGTGCCTGTCACGATGGCTTTCCGTTCGACGAATACGCGCGCGCCTTCAAAATGACTTTAGTTCAGTTTACAGTGTTTTATATATGTAAATTATATTGGCACTATAGCGAGAGGTGTGGGGTGCTGGTGTTGGTGCAGATTGTCATCGTTGTGTTTGAAAATACGTATCTCTTATTAATATTTAAATAAAATAAAAAGAGAAATAGTCGATGAACTAGAATCGTAAACAACTTTGTTAACACGAAAATGCCCAACATCATGCATTAAAATAAAGAAAGAGTCACTCTGCGTGTAAATTTGGGAAATGGGATTTAACGAGAAAAGAATTGACTTTTGAATTCAGTAATATCAGACATTTTGCAGCTTGCCTACAAACAGTCGACAAGGAAAAGAAGAATCAGAAATTTAAAAAAAATCGGCGAAGAAAAACTTTCCGCATCGAAACCATCTGTTCGCGCAAGTAAGGCAAGGGCTACACACATTGCATATTAAGAGCACAATGAAACAATAAATAAGTAATAAGCAGCATGACAAAAACGAAAATTAATTACAACTGAAATATTTAGCGACTGCAACAATACACACACATGCGAACACAAACCCATTGGAATTAAGAGTAATGTGTTGCTCGCCTCGCCTGATTCTCAGGCGATCCGAGCAATGCGGCATGCATCGTATGATGAATTCGCAAAACTCGACTCTCTTGTTGGCAGATTATTAATCTTCAGATGAAGTGAAAAATTGATGTTAATTTGCATAAATTCCACGTTAGCTAGACTTAGTGGAACTTGTGCTTGTCGACACAGCCCCACAGCCTATATCGCTGGCAAAATGAAACTGTTCCAGAAATGAATGGCTACATATTCTAAAATGAAAGGCAAATAAATCAACCGCTTCAAAGGAAATGCTTTGAACAGTGAGCGAGAGACTGAACGAACGAGCTCGCGCGCACTCGTTCATTCGTTTCCAATTGCCTTATGTCAGCGCTGTTGGCTGTGCTCTTCAAACACCGCGCCGCACGCTAATAACAAATTCAAAGTGTTAATCTAAATGTTTATGTTTGTGTTCATTCAATATGTCTACAAAATTAATAATAATTAAATGAATTTAATTAATTGCCGAGTGCGAGTGCGAATGCACATTTTATTTATGCACACTTTTTTCACCATTGAAATCGTTGCGCTGTGGGAGTATCTCTATATCGCATTTGCTGCTGGCTGCGAGCTGCTCGTTTGAAATTCATTTGGAAAATTTAATGAAACGAAAAAAAGAACGCTTGACAAAGTGATAATTTTTAGCACCAATTTATCTTTTTGCTGCGGTTTTTTTCTCATTCTAAGCTACATTGCAATTTCATTATACCTCGAGATTTTGTGACATCCCAAATACGATCGATTTTCTTTGCAATTGCAAAACGTATTCCAAAAGTAAATTGAGGCAGAAAAACCCGCATTCGACAAATTACCACATTATTGATGTTTACGTTTGTTCGTCGCCTGCCCAACGAATTTCAACAATCGATGAATATATGTGTGTACTCCAGTTTGAGCGTGTGCCTACGTATATCCATATCGTAGGCCATAAAAGCCACTCATATCCAACTAAATTCATTGATTACGATAAAAAAAACAGCATACAAAGCAGCAAGCAAAAACGCACCAACCAAACCAATTTCATTCATAAAATACTTTTGTTATGGTAATACCCGTCCGCGCGGAGTATTTTTAACTCAATAGCAACAACAACAGCAAAACGAGCATATAAACTCCAACAACAACAACATTAAAAAAAAGAGAATCAAACAACGACTCGCTTGTGGCCACAAACAACTCACGATGGCGGCAAAATTGTAGCATACAATTTTAACTCGATGTAAATGTATGTAAAATGCAGCACCGACAGTATGAATAAACAAGAAAATATTAGCGACAGGTTTAGTTCATCGCGAGGAGGAAGGCATGATTGTGTGGTACGTTGAGGCCGTAGATTGCATTATGAGTCATAAATTACCAATTTCTATGGGTTTTCGAATCGGAAGCAACAACGGAATCGGATCCCAACCAGAGAGCAAAGGCACTTAAAAATGACAAGACGACACCGAGAGTGAGAGAGAGAGAGAGAGAGAGAGAGAGAGATAAACACCACCAAAGATTCATGCAAAAAGAAAGTATATGTAATCTGGTGTTGACCTGGAACGCTTAAAAGGATCTAGATCAATACGATTACGGTCTTAATGGTTTTTTTTGGCATACATAACCACTTATATATCCAGCTTAAAAAGTCAAGTTGTGTGTTTTTTTTTGTTTTCTGTTCAAACAGTTAGCGCCGCCTGAATTTTCCTCAGCATTGAATGCAGACTGGAAAATAAACAGAGACTTCAAAGGCTATTGAATCGGTTTTTTCGATTTTTTCGTCAAATATGTACAGTAACATTTTTTTCTGTTGGTGCCGTTCTTACGACGGCAAAAAGTAAATCGAACAACGACAACTACAACGATGACGACGACGACGACAAAAACAAACATACGCTGAACAAATAAGTGGATCCACAATGAACGTAAAATGCATGCAGTTTACTCGGATTGAAAATGCGAATGAAAGGTATAGAAAAGTTGAAGTTGAAAAAAAGGCAAAACACACTATCAATACTTCCAATGGCAATTGTGAATAAAGACACACACCACACGGCTTATCGAGTGAGAGAGAGATAAAAACGCGACTACAGCAATAATGACGACGACGACGACATACAACTGAGAAAGAGCTCACGATAGCTCTCAGCCGACAAAATGCGATGACTATGTGTCGACGTGAAAAATAAAACCAATACACACACTTCGATTTGCGATGAATGGGAGAGAGAAGAAAGAATTATTTGAAAAAAGAACGACAACACCGACGATGCAGTCTCAGCCCGAAGAAAAACACAAAAAAAAACCAAAACCAAAAAAGGATTTCATCTACTTGGCCGAATTTCGCACCACAAACGCACTTCCGACAACAAGAAAAGCAAAAAAATGAACCAACAATCGAATGATCAAGCCAAAACATTTTCGAAATGGAATCGACAAAATTTTTCGGTGTGTGTTTCGGTTTCCAAACAGTTCCAGAGCATTTAAGTTTTTTCTTTCGAAATAAACAGCATGACCGAAGAGAATAAAAGAGAATAGCGGCGCCTACATGCCCCCAACGTACGGCCGTTCCGTGGTGCACGAAACAACAAAACGCTACCAGCAGATACGACGCATAATATTTACAATAACAACAGCAATACAGCTCTGGCTACCCGACAACACAACTGAGAGTAGTAGTAGCAGCAGCTACAGCAGCAGCATTCAATATGATATAGTTTCAAGAACTTGTGTGGCTCAGTGTCAGTCAGAGCTTGAACGTGAAACAGTTCATTTCTGTCTTTTAGGCGACCTAAGCAGCGAGAAGGCGCTCAACGTACGACAAAAAAAGTACACTCCATCTCATTGAGATTAACATATCATTCAAATCTACATTCGGTGTTGTGCTACGACCTGCAATTTTGATTATTATTGAATCACTGTTGTTGACAATTGAAAATTCGTGTGATTGTGTTCTGTGGAATTGTCTATTTTCCGTTTTTTATTTTTCTTTATTCTTTTTTGTTCGCGCAAGATCTTATTTGAACATTGTTGTGTCTTATTTTGTTCGGCTAAACAAGCAAATTTGTGTGAATGACTCGATTCTTATCCGTTTGCACGAGTTTGTTTAAACTTCTGTTTCCGTGAAGTGTTCGTGTCAGAGAGTGAGCGCGTGTAATCATTGTGAGTTTTTATTGAGTTTTCTAGTGAAATTTCAAGCGTGTGAATTAAGATAAGGTGATTTATATGAATGTTCATCGTATTTTCTATCGTAAATTCTCCAAATCATTTGTCAGATGTAAGTAAGGTCTCTCTCTGTAGTTAATTGCGCGGTGGCGACTAGATATTCGCATTAAATTCAAAATATATGGCCCAAGCATAGGCGCTAGTGTAAATAAAGTTGAATAAAACTGAAACGAATACGTGAATGAGCCAGTTTTGGTATTTTCAACCAGAAATGCGCACATTTTCTGAATACCCGTTAAATAAAAATGGGCATATCTTTCGATGCCGATCCAATTAGAGAGTGCACGATAAATTGCATCTGGTGAAAATAGCGATTGTCATTTGTTGCACGCGCTTCAAAACCTAATTTAATGATCACTCGGTGGATGAATCGATGGGAAATGTTTTTTTCTCTCTCTCTCTTCACTTGTCCATATATCGTCGCGATCAAGTCAACACAACAACTAATACAACAAATATCATCGAGCCAATTTTCTGATGCTTTGATTTTGTCACCATTACGCATTGTGCTGTTTTTTTATTACTATAAACTCACGTTTCAGTATTTTTCTCTCTCTTTCTCTCTCTTCGGTTTTGTGTTGCCACCTGTTGTTTCGACATTCTTTTTTGTCCACAGCGCGATCAAATTCTACGTGTTGACTGTTTCATTCGCACCGCTAAATGCTAACGAAAGTGCGCCCACGTATCGCCCGTTCCAAACCAAGTGAATCAATATTGAATCGACATCTAAATTATACGCTTGACTTGGACGGCCAATTGTAAATTAATATGCAAAAACGTATTGGTTTTTTGTTTCTTTCCATCTTTATTTCTATTCGATGAAATTTTCTGTATAATAACGATGATATCTATGACTTTAGCTGGGATTTGAATGCGTCTGCTCAATTAGCAACAATGACTGAAATCAGATTAAATCGTTTTAGGTGAGAAACAGAAAAAAAACGGACGCCAAACGTTTTTTCGAGCGGAGTAAAGCGAACAAAATGAGACAAGGGAATCAAAAACAACAACCGACAAATCTCAAAAAGTCCAAATGAAATCCATGTGATTCACTTTTGTTCGCCTCTTATCTGATCGATGTAAGAGAATCGTTTTGAGTGTTTTAATCAAGTCAAGTCCCCATTCGACTGAAGAGAAAAAAAAATTATTAAATTAAAATGCAAAGAAGATGTTGCATCAAAGCGCAAAAGGCTACTATGTGCGCGAGTGATTTTTTGCTGTTGTTGTTGTTTCGTGTGTGATTATGCTAATATTATTATTATTTCATGAGAAATCCATTTGGATTTCTTAAATCAGGCGTTCCGTCGCGCTCGTGTGTCGATTTCATTCAGACCGAACACGAGGAAAAAAAAAGATGTATCATAGCAACGATGTTTATGCGAAAGTATCGCAAAGCGCTTGCCATTTCTGCACACAATTTAATTAAAGCAGCGCGCACAAGATCAAGCAGATACCGTGCAAAAAAACATACGGTGAGACCTTTTTTCAAGCGAAGACAGGAAGAAAAAAAAACTAAAAGAAATGAATCTTTTTATCTGCTAAGGCTCCGTTCTGTTTAAACTTTCTGTCACGGATGATTAATAGCGGCGCCGAAATTAAAAGGCGCATACACATTTGACTGCCTACTATCGCGACTGAGAGCGTGCGCTTCATCGATTTCGCTGTCGTCAAACCTTATCAGGAATTTACGGTAAAATGCTGATTTTCGAGAGAAAAAAAGAAAGAATTATTTTGTTGTCGACGTCGACACACTAAAATAGGTGCCGAAAAGACCGAGACATTGTTGTGTTGTATTTTGCACTGGCAAAATATTTCGATCCGCGACCAATCTATTTTTGGACCATTATTTACAGCAACAATATTGTGTCTACACGAAGAAAATGCACAAAGATCCGTTTCCATTCACTTTTAATTGAAGAGCATTGCCGTGTCGTTTCGCCTTTTGTTTTCTTCTCTCCCATTTTTTTTGCTTGCATTGAAGTGTGAACGAAGCCGTCATTTGAATTATATTGAGTGTCTGTGCACAAGCGACACGTAACATATGAAGAAGAAAACGAAAATCAGTTCCATATCACACACACGCACGCACGCACACATATTGCAAGCATATGTTCTCGACTTAAGCGGGCAAACGCAGTGCATGTAATATACAGACAATGATTCGATGTGTCGACAAAAGAAGTTTGCAAGATGAATTTCATTCATGACTGTTGTCAGTCGACAGTAGATGAGAATGCGTTTGCGTGATTCTCGGATACTCTGTTTTTTTCGTCTCTTTCACATTCGCTTTATCTTTCATTGTTATTGAATAGAGAATCCAAGTCGCAGATTCGCATATGAATAATCGTTTAAAGCATAGACACACAGCGAGAGAGAGATAGAGACTCTTGTATTCGTGTTATGTCATCATCATTTATTTATAGGCAGATCGAGCGCGAGAAATTTGCATCGTTTATTGAATCGAGCGGAAGAAGATTTTCTCTTTGTGCCTGATTGTTTGCGTTATTTCACTCGATCTATCCATAATTCTTTGTGAAAAGATTTGATGTCAAACGTGCCTAAACACTGTCATTCCACTGGTAATTAATGGCACAATTCAGCACAATGTCCGATACAACTCAACGCTTAATCAACTGCATTCGCCGGGGTATATACACAGCACACAATTGACCATTTACAATTAGCTGTGCAATAAAACTATCATATCGAATTAAAATGAATGAAAACAAACTCGCATTGAAGCAAAAAAAAAATGTTTATTCTCACTTCGTGGTGTGCATTGTCGCGCATTCGAATTGATGCTTTGCAAAGTTTGATGAATACTGCCGGAGTTATTGCCACTCGTTGCTACTGCACACAAAATCAACTCTCTGTGTGTTTCTCTGGTTTGTGAATCATTGTTATCACCTTCCATTCGATATGAATGCGCGACAACAAAGACCCCTCGTTCGCATCGGTTACATTTTGAATGTGTTCACGAACCTGCAAATCGATGACACTGGAATCTGTACAAATAGGCTATTTTTAGCTTTTAGTACCAATTTAAACGAACAATTTATTGCCAATAAAAACTTTTGTTATTCCTAAACAGATGAGACTCATTCAAGAACACCGTACAAGGTTCATTCTTGCTTTGGCGAAAAGAAATGCCGAATTTATTTTGAAAAAAGAAACGACCGAATCAAAAACAACGGATTCGAAATTATAAAATCTTTTAAAACATGAAACTTTTGTGGAATATCGCTTAGTCATCGATCAAATTGTTTTCCGATGTTTTTCATAAATCGAAGCATCTGCTTTCAATCTAAATCGAGAAAAGAAACAAACATTTCGCATTGATCAATCTCTCTTGGAATCTATCACAATTGAAACTCTAGACTCTAGACAGACCTTCAAAACATTGTAACTGTAAATAGAGAGGATAGAGCGAGCGAGAACATTGAAAAAGTCAGACAAAAGACATCATTGAGATTTGCTACTAATTAGGATGCTGAATGAGCACACACACTCATGCAACACTAGACATTAAAACTGAAGCCGAAACACAAACACAGCAACCGATCTGAAGCAAAAAAAAACCAAAAACTTTGATTGAATTTGTAAAATCTGCATAGATACAAACGATGCCCTGAAAATAAGTAAATGACGAACATTTTGTCACACTTCAAACCAGATGGACGGCTCGAGTCGATGCATATGAATTTCACATCGAATATCGGCGTCGACGAAACAAAAAAAGGGGGAGAGAAAGAGAGACACTCAATTTCCTTTTGAGAAGCACACTGACTAACGACGACGACGACTTGCTCATATACTCGGACCGTGTGTAGTGCACTTAATTGCGTATTGTCGAGTTGATAGCATAAAGTGCACTTCAACAGCGGCGCTTGTAAGTATGTTTAAATTTAACCTGGCGCCTAAGAACAGTTGTAGAGTTGGTTTTTTTTCGTCGATTTTTTTCTCCCTCTCTCTCTTTCTCCTTCATATGTTCAAAGCCCGACCGTACACTTGTAAGCGGTGTTGTTGTTGTTACTCGCACCGTCGCTTCCATATGCTTCCATTGTTGTTGTCGTTGTTGCTTTTTCTCCCTCTCATGTACACACTCGAAGAAGTTGCAGTGCTTTTCAATTTGTTCTTTTCCCTTTCTCTTTGATCGAACGTTTTCGGCTTTGCCTATTACCGTGTCTCCCATGTCTCGTGTGTGTTTTGTTTTTTTTTCGCATGGCGTCTTCGTTGATTAACAAAAAACTGTCCGTGAAATTGGATTAATTTATCATATTGCTATTTAATTTTCGTTGCTGACATCTCACATTTGCCTGTTTTTATTGATTGAGCAACCGAGTGAAGCCAGAAAAAAATAATCACTTTAGGACATGATGACTAATGAAAAGGATAATCGACCGCATCACAATCGACTGCAATCAATCAACATTTTGCTGAGAGTGAAAAATGATGACGCAAAATTTCAAGCGTACACCAATTAATTAATTCAAATGAAACCGGGCAATAAACTTTTTCAAATGGAATTGCGTCTCAAATTTAAAAATTCCATTTGAAAATGTGTAGACGATCGGCTGTTTGTCCTTTCAATGAGGTTTTGATATTTGAATTCGCAGCGAAAATTAAAGTGGCACCATTGATTTGGTGCGTCGATCGAGTTTTTTTTTTCTTTCTCTTCTCTCCCTCTCGATGTTCCCATTAATTGAACCCGTGAGCATAAAAACGACTTATTAAACAATCGCCGAACAAAACGATACAAGAAAAAACTACCAAACAAAACACACGTCAAAAACGTAACACAGCAGGACGGTACCGTTCAAAACGAAACTCCGCTGTGCTACACATTACCGCTGTGGTACGTTTTGTTCGGTAGTTTTTTCTTGTATCGTTTTGTTCGGCGATTGTTTAATAAGTCGTTTTTGTGCTCACGGATTCAATTTAAATCAGAAGAAGAGCCACGAGTAATGATCACTATTGAGATGTGTCGTCTACAAGTCGACAAGAATTTTATTTGGAAATCATTTGGGAGCGTGTGGCTTCACTGGGCAGCGAAAAAAAATTAAATACACACACAATGCGCGTAATATACAAACAGCGGCGAAAAGAGTGAGCGTGAGACGATCTCAAAATGAGAAAAAAAATTGAAATATCGTACAAATCCATCTTTACGAGTTTTGAATTGGCGCCAAAGGCATTTAAAAACTCTCGGCTTGGTTGCGTTGAGTGTGTGATGCCGTGCGCAGATTGTAAGGTACACATTCATTTGTTTCGGTTGAATCGAACCGTTTGGTGTGTCGGTTGGTTGCTGTTGTTGTGGTGGTTGTGTGCCTTTCAACGGTTCGCCGTTTTGCTGCCGCTCGCTGTGTGCTGTTCATTTTTTCCCTTTCGGCGCGTATTAAAGTATTACACATATTTTGACTTGGTGATCTTTGGCTCCTTTTCTCTTTATTATGGTTTTTCTTTTTTGTTCGGAAAAAGATTTGGGCGCTCATCACTAGCATCGATAAAGACGATGGAAAGTACACCGATATACAAGTATTTTGTTCATTTAATTTGCTTGTCGACATGTTTCTACGGTTGCTTATTACAACTGTCTGGCATTTTATTCTCGACGTTTTCCATCGCTCCGCTTGCAAACGGAAATCACAACGGCGCTTGAATGTTTAATTCTGTGGAAAAGGCACGCTATCAATTTGCCTGCGTCCAAAAAAAATTTCGCCTTCTACACCACTGTCTGTCCAAAATGGAAAGGAGAGAAGGGAAGAACAACGAAACGAAAAACAATGTGCCGTTTAATTTATAGATAAACACGCACGTGTGTCTCGCATCAAACCACACGATTCCATTGTATCGTTCCGGCAATGTCTTTCGCATTCTGCTGCGAGCAAATTGAATGAACCTTTCAGTTTGATCGATTACAATTGTTTTGATCTGTTCAGCAGTTACTATTAGTGTCTTAATCCATATCCTTGCGTCGATAGTTATCGCAAACAAGTATCGAAGAAACAGAGAGCAGAAAAGGAAAAAATGAACCAAAACCAACGTGTGAGTATTGAGGCATGTGTTGTGTTTCTGTGTTCGTCGTGATTTTCCAACATAAAATGATGCATTAAATTACATATAAATTTTCTTTTGTGTATTGTTTTTTTCTCTGGTTTCGATGGTCGCACTAAAACACTCTTGCTTCATGGGTTTGTTTTTATTCTTCGCTCGCTTGTTGTTGTTTATATGCGCTGCAACATAATATCTTCATAGGCTAAAGCGCACAAATGCTACACACCGAAAAAAAAGAAGAAGAAGAAGAAGAAGTAGAAAAAAACACACAACGTTTGTACACATGTTTCATGTGTATAATAAAGCACCGTATTTACCGGCGCCTGTGAGCGCGCATTTGTGGTTCGTTTCATTTGTTTTCTAACTCATCATTTTGTGCCGTTTGCTTTGGTTTCATCTTTTCGTTTCGTTCGTTTGCTTTATCTTCTCTCTCTCGGTTCAAACTGCATACACACAAAAAAATTTAATTATTGAAATTGTATACTAAGCGGACAGAGTTAGGCGCCAGTCTACTTTTTTCACTTATATTTTATTGTTGTTTGTTTTTCCGTTTTAATGTTTCTCTCTCTCTCTCTTTTTCTCTTTTTTCTGAGCCTTTCTGCCGTACATTTTGAATAAAACTTTTTTCCACTTTGCTTTTTGTGTCTTCTTTTTTTTCACTCCCTATAGTCGCGCGTTCTCCGGTTACTTCGGAAACGGTTGAACGTTTCAATATTTATTGTTGCTAATTGTGTGATTGCCTATGCTAAAAATGGTTTTTGTGTCACCTTTTGTCATGGTTCAATGGCTAATTTTGATCTTCTTACGTGTGCCTTGTCACGTTACCAACCATTTGATAAGTCTGAACGATTGAGACAAATTTGATCACCATATAAAATGTGATTGTGTGGCTTTGCTCATGTTTCGTCGCCAGTGTGGCAAAAGGTGCTTCACGTTGCACCTTTTTTTAAGTGCTGACGACCGGCCAATTTTGAAGGAAAATCCGTCAACTTTGTTTTCTTTCCCAACGGATTCAGTATTAACTTAACTTATTACTCTCGGTGGTTAGAGGCGACAGACGATGATCGTGTGAATTTTTTCGAAACCGCACACGTCAAAAGCGGCTCATTTTCAGGCGGCCATAAATTAAATTTCGCTTCTTCTTTTTCCACATTATGTTTTCTATTTTCGTAATAAGATGAATTAGCAATAAACTTAATCGAAAGTCGCCGGCAGGCAACAATGTTGCAGTTTATTTACATTTGATGCGGGCAAAAACCGACATTTTTGCATATTAGCGGCGAATATGTTATGATTAGAAGATACATAAATTCTTCGTAAACATTCTGTTTAATTTCGTATCGTTTTTTTTCTGTTTCGCAGTTATTTTTTTCGTTCGGCAGAGACATTCAGCATGTGAGTTGAGAGGCGCAAATGTGTGGATGGTTGTTCGTACGGCTTTGTAAAAATGAAGATATTACATGAGAATGGTTAAAATGAATCAGTAAAAGATGCGAATACATGTCTACAGCTGAAACGTAAAACAAATCAAAGAATATAACACATTTAAGCAACTGAAAATCTATCGTTGGATCGATTGAAGCAGGGTAACGACGTGGAGATAACCATTTCAATTAGACGATCACATCAAAAATATACTATGCCACATCATTGGTTCATTCAATTCTTCGTACTATTCACTATTAAATGCATTGCGTTCGCGGCCTACGGGCCCAAATTAGCTGGTGAGTAAATGCATTTTTCAACTGCGGATTTCTTTAAATTTTGATTTGTTTTTGTTTTTAGATTTATAAAGTTTTGAAGCGATTTCAAAAAATTGAATTTCATCTCGAAATTTTCACGATACAAAATTTAACTCACTTCCTCAATTTCTTTTGTTTCTTTTCATTTTTGACATTTTTTTTTGTTCTACGTTTGTCTTTGAACAGGCAAATTTTCACACGATGTTGATTCGGGCCATTTATTTGTGCCGCGACGAGTCCACTCCAATGGCACACATTTATCATACAATGTAACACATTTCCATGGATACGATAACCCCAATGAAATCGACAGTGAGCAGCTGGATAATAAGCTACACTATCACATCGACTTGCACGACCAAACGTTGCACGTTGAACTTGAGTAAGTGTGAAATTGATGAATTTTTATTTTGCCTTTGCTCCCATTTTTGTGTTTTTTTCTTTCGTTTCGTGATGACTTGAAAAGTTGTTAAAAAAGCGTTAAATTTAAATTGAAATAAGTAAAAATTAGGGTCACTTTCATTTGATTGGCATTATTTTCAGGCCATCTGTTGATTTTATTGGCCCATCAATGGTTGTCGAACGGCATCGACGCGACACTCGTTCTCGTACAAAGTACAAACACCATAACCGACGATGCCATTTCCAAGGTCAAGTGCGAGATGATCACACATCCAGCGTTGCGCTATCCTCATGCAATGGAATTGTAAGTTTTTGTTTACCACAATATTTTTTTTCTTTCCCAAATTTACCATATTATTTGTTTTTAAAGTCTCAATTTAAAATCGTAAAAATCCCAAATGAATCGGCATTTCTCGCAATCGAGAATGTTTGAGAAACTCTATGTTTGATCATCGTTTCAGTTTAATCTTTGTAATAAACTTATGAATCCAATCTGAAAAATTGTATCTCAAATTTCGGTAGTCGACAACGAATCATAAAACTGAGTGTCTAATTTTATTACATTATAAGACTTGTTTTGATTTAATGTGACAAATTTACCGCCTAATTGCGACACCAGTAATAAATCAGTTGTTGTTGATCGTTGCGATCATTCAATTGCACTGGTTTTAATGTGTGGTGACATTTCTTACTTTATTCTTTTGTCTGTTCGCTGCTTAGGCGAACTTATTTACAAGTTGTGACATTTTTCATGATTTCTCTCTCTCTCTCCTTCGGTTGAATTATTTTTCCGATTGTTCAATGCGTGCGCAGAGTGGAATGCTACGAACGAAACGAGGCGATTATTACATCGAACCATCGAAGCACCATCAAGTGAACGATGCAGGCCATCATCCGCATATAATCTTTCAGCGATCGGCTATAAAAGTAAGTTCAGATCCATTTTCTTTTTCTCTCTCTCTCTTTCTAGCTCAGTTACTTCTTTTTTTTATCCTGAGAATTTCGTTTGAATTCAATCAAACAAAATAAAGTTATTAAATTTGATGTGTTCCTCTTTCCGTTTAGCAACAAAATAAGCAGCAACAGAATAGCGTTGATAGTGATATTAAAATTAAAAATAGCAGTAATGAGGAGAATAGTATATTTAATAACAAGGTGCATAGTTTAAGAAAACGAAGAAAGCGTCGAAAAGGTCATCTAAAAAAGCATGAGGCCAGCAACTGTGGAACAAAAGAACCGAAACGACCCAGTGAAACACATATCGAATGGCAACCACAAGGCAAAGTATGATCGAAAAAAGCATTGTTTTGTTTTTGCTATCAGACAATTTCTGGTTTATCCGTTCTCACCCATTGTTTTTTTATCCCTTCGGTTTCATTCGTTAGGTGATTGTTCAAAACAGTCGTCGAATTCGACATCGCATTCGAAAAAAGTTTTCCAACGACTTTGATAGACAACGTCAACGTCTTCGTCGAAGGAGACAACGATTGCATCATGCAAAGAAGATGGAACAGATTTTGAATCGTAAGAAGAATCTCACTGGTGAGGAAGCGGATGAGGCGATTGATTATCATGTACAAAAACGTAGCAAACGATCGGTCAGCAGCCCTCGACATGTGGAAGCATTGGTTGTTGCCGATCCATCGATGGTCACCTTCCATCAAGACGGAGATGTTGAAATGTATCTATTGACCATCATGAATATGGTCTCTGGGCTCTACAAAGACCCAGCCATCGGAAATCTGATTAAAGTGGTTGTCATTCGCATCGTTTTGCTTGAAGAAGAAGAAGCACATCCCGATTTTAACGTAACTCACGCTGCTGAAGGAAACTTACGCAATTTTTGCAGGTAATTTACTATTGCTCTTTTCACTTGAGCTGAAAAAGTGTTTTTATTTCGATTAAAGTCTTAAAAAGTTTGACTTGACTTATTTTTGGAACAAAAATCAAAATTTTCATCTCTCTCTCTCTCTTGATAAATTCAGATGGCAACGTTTAGAAAATCCAAAGGATGACAGTGATCCAAATCATCATGATGTGGCCATTTTAATAACTCGTAAAGATATTTGCTCGGTTGACGGATGCACGTAAGTCATTCACACGTCTCGTGAAACTTTCAGTATAAAAAACAAATAGTCAATAAATTCAATCGTAATGTTTCATACGAAAAAAAAAATAGAACACTTGGCGTTGCAAACGTTGGAGGAATGTGTAGGCCGGAGCGAAGCTGTAGCGTCAATGAAGACAATGGAATCACCTTAGCGCACACGATTACACATGAACTTGGTCACAAGTGAGTGCAAATAAATTAGCAAGAGAATAATTTATTGATTTCTAATAAAATTAATATTGACAACCATTAGCTTTGGAATGTACCACGATACGGAAAAAACTGGATGTGACAGTCGAGCTGGCCAAATTGTTCATGTAATGACGCCGAGCTTTGAAGTAGATACAATACAAGTGTCGTGGTCCAATTGCAGCAGACGTTATATCACACACTTTTTGGAGTAAGCGACGTTTTTTTTTGTTTACTTGGACTTTTCACTTCATTTTTCTTGTTTTTTAAATTTTCCTTCATAATAACTTTTCAATCATTTTTTTAAAAATAAATTGTTAGTCAAGGCCTCGGGAATTGTTTGGACGATTCGCCAACGGAAATGGAAGTTTATCCAGATTTGCCGCCAGGTGCTATGTACAATGCTGATCTGCAATGTCGTTTGCAATTCAATACAACTGATGAAAGTGTCAAGGTTTGCTCAAAAATGAATGAAATCTGCTCGCAACTTTGGTGTTTGGTAAACGATGAGTGTGTTACTCAACTGCGTCCAGCCGCGCCAGGGACCAATTGTGGAAAGCATAAGGTAAGAGCACTGTTGTACCTGCTCATTTTCAAGGTGTAATTTTACGTTTGTCTTTTTCAGTGGTGTCAAAATCAAGAATGTGTTCCAATCGAAGATCAACCACCTCCAATCGATGGCCAGTGGGGCAATTGGACTGAATATAGCGAATGCTCACGCACATGCGGTGGTGGTGTTTCCATTGCTAGTCGTGAATGTGATAATCCAAGGTAAGTTTATTTACATTGAAATCCAAATTGATAGTGACTTTCTTCTTATTCAATAATTGATGGAAAAAACAAGAAATAGTCGAAATTCAAAAGATTCTAAGAAATTGTAATTCAAACGAGATCCTTTTTCATATAAGACCCGAAAATGGAGGAGCATTTTGCGTTGGCGAACGTATTCGATACAAAGTTTGCAAATCGGATCCATGCCCCGAAAATGAACCAAGCTTCCGAGCGCATCAATGCTCAAAGTTCAACAATGAAACATACCGGGATAAGAAGTATGAGTGGCAACCCTATTTCGACAGCCGTGAGTAGATAATACTGTTGATTAGAAGTGAATGCCTCAATTATTAATCTAACCTTCTCTTTCGTTCATCAGATGACCCGTGTGAGCTTTACTGTACTGATTCAGACGACACTTTAATTGTGCCGTGGGGAGATTCAGCCGCTGATGGAACACCATGCAATATTGGAACGAATGATATGTGCATTTCTGGCATTTGCCGAGTAAGTTTCGATGTGGAAAATTTCAATAAATAAGATTAAAATCGTTATTGCCGATATGATATTGCGTTCATAATATTGGTTCAATAATTATTATATCATGAAATCTCGGATTGAAAATTTATAGAAAGTTGGCTGCGATTGGGTCGTTGATTCCGATACAACGGAAGATCAGTGTGGTATTTGTGGTGGTAATGGTGAAACCTGTACAACGATCAAGGGCGAATTCAATAAGAAAATGAATGTCACCGATGACTACTTCGAGATAACAAAAATTCCGACTGGTTCTCGTCAAATTCTCATCGAAGAGATTCATCCGTCAAAGAACTACTTGAGCATTGGACGGGCGAACAGCAATCAAACATTTTTAAATGGTGACCGATTGATTTTGATGCCAGGTGAATTTTCCATTGATAAAATGATAAAAGGACTGTACGAGCGAGACAATGAACAAGAAAAGATCAAAATACCAGGACCCATACCATTTGAAATGGCTGTCAAGGTATGTGCTTCAATCAACGACTATTCGTAATTGATTCTCATACTTTATGTTTTAATTTTGATTGTAGGTATTGGTTCGAGGCAAGAGTAAAAACCCTGGCGTAAGATACGAGTACACATTGTCAGCGAATGAGACGAAAGAGCCAGTTTACTATTGGAAACTGGGAGATTGGTCGGCTTGTTCGGCCACATGCGATGGAGGCATTCAGCAGCGTCAACCAATTTGCTTCGAAAGTGTCAAAAGTGAAATCGTTGACGAGAAGTTCTGTTGGTCAAGTGCCGACAACGACATGCCAAATAAGAAGCATCGCGTCTGCAATGATGTTCCATGTCCAGCTCATTGGTGGGTCGGCCCTTGGCAGCTTTGTTCTGTCACCTGTCGCAGACATGGTCAACCACCACCAGTGAAGAGACGCACCATAATGTGCGTTGATTTTAAGGAAAATGCACTATCAGACAGCAGTTGCAGTAATATCGAAGAGCGACCGTCGGAAACAGAAATCTGCGACATTAATTTACCATTCTGCAACGGAGAAGAGGACAATAACGAAAACAGCAATATGATTTAATTTTTGGTTTCCATTTGCCTAGCATCCATTTTGGAATCATAACGAAGAAAAAAAATGAAGCTCAACACTGTACGACAGTGGCATAAACAGAACAATAAATGAAAAATAGAATCCAGTGAATACGATTAACGCTGGACAGTTGTTGGGAGTGTGCAGAAAAAAATGTTTTGCATCATCGTTCGGCAATGAAAATCCATCATTACCTTTTACTTTAATCAAAATTTACATAAAATTGTGTATTCGTTATTGTCATCGAAACGATATTTATGCATTCAACAATAAGTATTGTTATTAATCATGTCAAAAGTGTATTTTGTAATTTTCTTTTCTTGTGTACAAACCCTCCCGTCGAGAAGAAGAATTCTCAACTAAAAAAAATATCACGATTATCGTCTAAATGTTATATTAACATTAATCTGATTCATTTTCTTTACCTATATTTTTTTTTCAATTTTTTTTTGCTACGTTAAACTATGTCTGACATTTGTTTTTAGGAACGCACATGAATTTATCACTTCGCTTCATGTTCTAGTTTAGTTTATATTGATTTTATTTTAAATAATAAAATACGGAAAGGAAAAACCCAAATTGCAGTGAAATATTGTTTTATTTTGTATTGATTGGCTCATTTAGTTTGTATTTTTCTCTGAATTTCTTTCATTTCCTTCGTTATTTCAAAATGAAATGTTGTTGGTTACAGTTGTTAGATACATCTGCACAAAACTCAACACAATTCAAATTGAAAGTGACAGCATACCAAGGCGAGCACATTGAAAGCATGAGCTGTGAAGCTCACCACACAAACTCACGTGCACATCGATACGAAACTCACGCGAACGGTGGCGCACGCGAACTAAGTCATTAACTGTCAAACTCTGTCTGTGTGTATGCTTGTGTGCGATGTGTATATAGTTCTTGCGTGGATGTTGTTTTTTTCTCGTCTTCTTCTCTGTTTTCTCTCAGATTCGTTTTGACATTTGCCATACACATATTAGAATCGTGTGTACGCGCGTTTGTGTGTAATGGTGCGATAGCAAGTGATGTTCATTAGAGATAGATAGAGAGAGAGAGAGAGAGATTCTTTTATGTTACTTGTGTTGGTATTTGTTGGTGCTTGGCTCTCTTGAATTCTCAGATTTCATTCTTGTGTGCTCAGTGATTTCTTCATACCAAAATGTGCATTGTACGTACGAGCTTACAATTTTATTGAGTGGTAGTTTGTTGCTACTGCTGCAATGGCGGACAACGTTGACAACGATAACAGTACCAATAATCCACTTGCTTCGCATAACAATTCGCCAGCCAAATCAATTGATGACGGCAATCAGCAGAGGAATGAACGGACAATTAAATCAAATACAAATTCAAACGGAGAAAATCACACAAAAAATAATCATAGTGCGACACAGACTACGACGACAACGACAATAGTGAACAATCAAAACATATCATCATCATCACCATCATCGACAAAAACATCACCATCACCAAGCACAAAACCTAGGCAAATGTCCAATACGACAACAGCTACGAGTGGTCCACGCGTCGTTACCATTTATAAAACCGAAACGGGCTTTGGATTTAATGTGCGCGGTCAAATATCGGAAGGTGGCCAATTGCGTTCAATCAATGGCCAATTGTATGCACCATTACAGCATGTATCCGCCTGTTTGGACAATGGCGCCGCTGAAAAAGCTGGCATCAAGAAGGGCGATCGCATTCTTGAAGTGTAAGTGTCCACATAATTATCGAATTTTCCAGATATTCCACATCACCCAGCCAATTTGAATGTTACTATTGCTACTGTGGTTGTTGTTGCTGCCGCTGTTACTGCTGTGAATTATTGCGTCGACAAAATGTTAATTATATCATATGTGATGGGTGCCACGGTTCGAATGAGAGATAAGTGAACAGAAAAAATTAATGTTTGAAACGACACCAAACACAGTCAGAGAGCAATATCAATTAAATTCCAACGAATTGGAAATGGGTGTCAATGAATAGTGAACATTGTTTGTATGGTGTCGGGAGCGTGGCTGACTCATACAACCGATGTGTGAGAAATTGAAATTTTATCGATAGCTTTTTTTCTGTTAGCATAATTTTTTTGCGGTTTGCTTCGAAACTGTTCCAATTTTTTGTTGTTACTTTCGTGATAAGTCGAACAGTGTGAGTGTATGTATATGGAAAAAAACGCGAGACAAGTAAAGCAAACAAAAAATCGATTTTTAACCTACAAAAAAGTACGTCAAAGAACTTGAAATGATATAAACAAAAATATGGATACATTTTTTTCCTACTCCAGTGCTTAGCAAATCGAAAGCAATGCAGTTTATTTTACCTTTTTTCTGCGTTAAAGTGATTACATCAAAGCTTGTGCTGTTCGGTTTATTTATATTGGCAATGTTCGTTGTTGTTGCTCTTGTTTTTTTCTTCTTCTGTGAATTTTCTTTTGCAATTAGTGTAAATTGAATGGTGCTTTGTGCGTTGCAGCAAAAGCAACAACAACAGATTTGCCTTAATCTCGACGCTGAACGAAATCAATCGTTAAAGACAGAAACCAGTTTGAATGTGCGCGCAAGAGTTGCAGTGATTGCATACCTACATGCATTTATATAGTGAATATCTGGGCGAGCGAGATAGAGTGAGACACACAGAGAGAGAGAGAGAGCAAGCAAGAGAATCAACTGCACAGTGGCCATTTAGCTGCTGTGGCATGGCAACAATCCGACCAGCTTGCATACATAACGAATTTGAAATAGGAAGCACATCAGCCCATATAATATCCCTCTCTGGTATTATGGGACAATTAAACCGTGTTCTCACTGTCAAAATCACAACTGTGTGATTTGACGTCTACAACGTATTTAGCTGTCTCCTAACGGCTGTTCGCACCTTAATTATGATAATTGATTACTAATATCAGCCAGGCAATAAACAATCTGGCATCAAGTCTGTAAACTCAATTGAATCCTATATATTCTGCATAAATTTCTTCGTCGCAACGCATGAGCGAATACGGATACCGTGTTTAATGCTTTTAAAGTGGCACCCAATCAAATGAAGTTGATCATGTAGAAAAATGAAAAGAGCCATTCAAAATTTCAAAAGAAAACAAACCATCAACTAAACTGTTAAGTAGGAGTTCTGTTTCGCTCTTGTTTGAAACTTGCTGACGTTGAACAAAAATACAAATGATCAGATGACAAATATGAAGGCATATACTACATCCATTAATTAATAAGAGTCGACTGTCAAGTACATGTCATAAACTATTCGCTTTTCTACGCTACTGAACACACATTGGACGCGGGCTGTGTTGTGTGCGCGTCGACCGTGTACTGCGCGAATGCTCCATCATAATTTTCAAAACTTGCGATACGTCGCCGATAATTGGAAAGCAATGACAAAAAACTGGGTGAATGAATGTATACAATCGCTTTCGAAAAGTTGATTGAATGGCAAACATTGTTGCTCACAACTGGACAATTTAACTTATCAAATGCATTCGTTAGAAATGTTTGAACGGCGAAGAATGAAAAAAAAAATAGAGAAACAATTAATCAAGTCCGGCGTATGGCACACTCTGCTCATACACACACACACCTTTACCATACGCATTCTTACATCGTTGCATTTCGAGAAAAGTTTCCCTTCGATTTCTAATTTAAAACGCATTAACGCAATTGACCGGTTTATTCTTGCGATTAATTTTACGAATCTCTATCTGGTACTATGGACGAATTTCGCAAGCCTCACATTTTTCATCGTCGAAAATCAACAAAATGAGACTATAATTAGCTTCGTTCTTATCTGGAATCCATAAATCAAATCGTAATTTTTTGCTTTCACTTATCCGATTAGAGAATGCTATGCATTTTGATTTCTATCGTTATCAGTTCGAAGAACAATTGTTTGAAGAACCTATTTAATGTGCCATTTTGCCGTAGTCGATGTGCATTGTGTTAATAGCACACAAAGTCAAAGAGTACACAGATTAAAACCAGAAACCAACTAAAGGATTCTTTGAATTTAGAACCACAATTCCGTTGAAAACATTGTAAATATTTGGATAGCTTCGTTCAATTGCAATTATGAATTGGTTGCTCGGAAATCGCCGTCGTAGGTAGGAAAGTTGTATGCAAACACGCACAGCAAAATCACTGCTGTGAGAATTATATTGCGTTGTTTAAATGGTGCGATTTAATAGTCACATGCCGCTAATATCCTATTTTTAAAACACGAAATGTTTATACGGTTGTTATCTACATTTGGCGTATGTGCGTGAGTTACATGCTACATTTGAAGGCCAAGTGCAACGAAGCGAAAATTGAAAGAGTCATTGCATCTGTTCAATATTGTTTGAAGAAGAAGAGGGAAAAAACGATGTAAGATTTGTTTGACTAATGCCGCTAATTTCGTTTGTGTTACAGGAACCATGTAAATGTTGAAGGAGCGACTCACAAACAAGTTGTTGACCTGATCAAAAGCGGTGGAGATTGCCTTACGCTAACTGTTATATCCGTTACACAACAGGTAAGAACTTATTTCCATTTTATTCCCTCAAATTATCTTTGTTGACGATGAAGACTAAATCATTTGTTTTCTTGTGTCGTATTGAAACAATAGGAAGCCGAAAAACTGGAGCCACAAGATGATCCGGGCGGGTACTCATACATCGATTACTCTGAAAAACGTTCACTACCCATTAGCATACCCGATTATAATACGGTGAATCGAAGCGGTGAAAAATACATAACATTCAATATACATATGGCTGGTCGGCAGTTATGTTCGCGGCGTTACAGAGAATTCGCCAATTTGCATGCATCACTGAAAAAGGAGTTTACCGGATTTAATTTTCCGAAATTGCCGGGCAAATGGCCGTTTCAATTAAGCGAACAACAATTAGATGCCCGCCGACGTGGACTTGAGCAATATTTGGAGAAAGTATGCGCCGTACGTGTGATCGCCGAAAGTGACAGCATGCAAGAATTCTTAACCGATTCGGAAGATGACCTCGCATCGTCACCGGTTGACATTAAAATCATGCTACCCGATCACGAAGTGGTCACCGTTTCCGTACGCAAATCGGCTAACGCCCAACAAGTCTGGGATCTGCTGGTGCAACGAGCTAAACTCACATCATACACACAACAATATTTCTATTTATTTGAAATTGTTGAATATAATTTCGGTATGTACAGCACACTCTTATCGCTTTGTTTTCGTTTTCGTTTTCGTTTGTATAAAGTTATCTCTTTTTTCAACATTTTTTTCTAACTTCATTTTTTTTTGTTCTTCTCCGAAATTTTTCTTAATCACAGAACGGAAACTTCAACCGAACGAAGTTCCACACCAGTTATATGTCCAAAATTATAGCACCGCATCGAGTACTTGCTTATGCGTTCGACGATGGCTGTTTTCAATTGATCGTGAAACAACGTTACCACACGGCGAGCAAGCGGCAAAATTCATATTTTATCAGGTATAGTAGCCCAACTGATACCCATTATCGCTGATACACTCACTCAGAAATGTATCTCTATATATGAAATACATAAACAATAAACAATATTTCTATTTGACAGGCCGTTGAAGAAGTCAATCGGAATAATATTCGAGCCGAGGGGCGTTTATATGAATTAAAAGCATTGCAAGATGCGAAAAAAGCATCGGAATACTTGGCATTAGCTCGCACATTGCCCGGATATGGCGATGTCGTCTTTCCGCATTGTGCATGTGATAGTCGCAAAGAAGGACATGTTATACCGGCTGTAGGTGAGTCAATTGAAAAACCCAACATTTTAATCACTTTTTACGATGATTTGTTTGCCAAACAATATTCGGTATGGAATTTCTGGTAAATCTTTCCGAATACGAAGAAAGCAACAAAAAAAAAACGAGATAAACGGAGCGTAAACAAAATGTGTATTTTACACAGAAAAGATATTAAAATAAATAAATAAAATAAATTGTGTGCAATGTTTTTAAAATCGTGAAATTTCTTTACAGGAATGAAAAGTTTTCGGTTGATTGCATGTCGAGAGGATGGTACGTTAGAGTCACAAACGGTTGAGTTAATGTGGAATACAATTCTACGATGGGAGAGCGATGAAGAGTCCATGGCATTTTGTTTTGAATATAGTCGCAATGAAAAACCACCTCGATGGGTTAAAGTCTTAACGCCATATGTAAGTATCGGTTATTTGAATTATTCTTTACATTCGCGTCAAGCTCTTCTACCATATCGACTGGATCCATGACGAATTATCTGTGACATTTTAATAATTTTATTCTGAATTCATTTTAATTTTGTTTCAATTTCCCAATTTTGCAGCACGCTTATTTAGCTGATTGCTTCGATAGAATAATTGAGGAACGCAAATGGAACGATTGCGGTGACTAAATGAAAATGGTCGATGAGCAGAAAAAATTGGTGTGATGAGAAAGAGGGAAAATTAAATTCGCATTAGCCGATCTTCAGACTTGTGTTAGTTAAAAAATACTTTTTGCTTCTAAAATTCAAAACGTATTTATGTTTAAAGTGAAAAATTGCAACCAATAACGATATTACATGTTACAAAGTAATTTTAAATTGAAAATAATCTCTCTAAATGAAAATTTTATTTGTACCTATTCACAGAAAAGATATTCGACTGAAAGTTGATGAAAATTTGATTTGATTATTGTTTATTGCAAAAAAAAACCTGTTTTTAAGGGAAATAATCGGAATCTATGAAGAAAAATTTGTTGAAAATATGTTTTTAAATTAGCCTGGAGCTAAAAACTTTGGATGTGCTTAAAATTGAATATTTTGAAACTCATTTATTGATGCATGTATTTGTGATTTATAATTTTACTGGTGACACAATCTAAACAAATTCGTTTTCATTTTTTTTCTCAACCGAAAGCTTGACACATGAACTCTTCAAATTGCATCTTCATGGAAAATCCACAAGTTTTATATAGAAATTATGTATAATAAGTGTGTGATTGGAGACAAATCAATATATGCCATAACGAATGAAATAGAAAATAGTATAGCACTCATCATGAAAAGCGGAAAAACCATTTGAAAAATCTTCGATTTTCCTTCTTTTTTTTTCCTTTAAAGCGAAAAAAAAGAATATTTAAACTCTAGACTCTGTTCCGAAGTAAATGTAAATATGTTGTTTGTTTTTTTTAACTTCAAATTTGGATTGAATGAGAGGGGAATATATTTTAATTTCAACATGTGACACGTCCATAGAGCTAAATGGTTTTTTGTTTAAAAAATGCAAAGCAAATAAAAGTGACATGTAATATTCAAACATGATATATCAAATCCTGTTAGTATTCACTGTATTAATACCTTATTATTTGTTTTTGGGACAGAACAAACTGTGCTATAAACATTGTTTTGAAAAGTTATATCGTACCAGAAAGTGTGCTCGTTGAAACGATGCAAAGCTCGAAACTTAATTTAAAATTAGATGATGTCAGAAAAGTGGTGGGCAGAATGTCCTCAATCGGCCTATGAATGTCGACATGTCCTAGAGAAATTTCAACAGCAAAAATGACGATTGCTTAGTCTAAGTTGCAAGAAAAAAAGTAATAAAGACCCCTTACATGTTGAAGGACCTTTGCAAATGCAGAAATTGCCATCGGCATAAAAACAGAAACACTCAAACTGTACATTCCAAGTAACGAAATCAAATGCAAAAGAAGAAAAAATTCGAATTTACCATTCATTTTATCTAGTCTTGTCGAATGGTCTGTTTTAATGAGATAAAAAGCAGATTTTTCTTTGTCACGGTGTTGAATTGTTTTTCTTGCACATTATTTTCGGTTTACCAAAGAAGCAGCCTCTTTCATTTTTGCCACATCATTAGATAATTAATAATAGCTACATGAGACTTAATCAAACACACCGAACTGAACTCCTAGACAGGAAATGCACAATTTCATTGAAGCAACACAAAAAAATAACACACACAACCGAGACCAATTTTCCTAACATCTGATCTGTATAACACTTAGAATCTGAATTTCATATGGACAATTGATTAAAAAAACAAACAAACAAAAAATGGATGGATCAATTCGAGCCTAATGCCGTAGTACATAGAATTTGAACAAATCTCCTCGGACCAGCGCGCAGCACTTGTGGTTGAATTCTAGATTAAGCACACATTTATTATGTCTATTAATGATGCAAACAAATTTCTTGAACATTTTCTGAATTGTATGTAACATCGACGACAATTTTATTTGTTGTTGCATGCATAAATATTCTGATTGAGCTATATGAGTTTTGTTAACATATTTGAAGAGTTTAAATAACAGTAATTACTTGTCAGTGCATAAAAAAAACGACAGGATTCAAAATACGCAGAAAAAATTCAATGAATACGATCCTAATAATATGGACGAAGTCCGACTAGGAGGAGATTCAAAGGATTGGAAGCTGAGAGTCAAGAAGAAGAAGCGTTACATGTGAACGCATCTTGCATTTAATCTTTCATTCATTATTAAAGAGAATTTGTTGGTGTACTTTCAATATAGGTATTGTGTTTTATTACCGATGAAACACAATTAATGTTTGCGATTCTAAAAGAAAATCTATTAAAATTAATTCTACAAAAAATACGATGTTTGAATTTAAAAATCATCAGATTGAAAACAAATGGTATAGCTACCGTAGCCACTGTTTTTTTCCCTCATTTAGTCGTTTATTCAAATAAGAAATTTCAACCTAAATTCATACTGTTTGTACGAAACAGTTTATATAAAACAACCAGACAACATTAAAAGAAAATTCATCGCGCTCTGTGGATTCTTTCTGCCTTTGAAAATGTGTAGTACTCTTTTTTCCCCCCCTGAAATCATTCATAGAACGCGTTGAAAATCAACGGAATGGCCATTTAAGTTTTTGAGAGTTTCTTCAAGTCATCTGATAATATATATATATATATATATAAATAACGATAAATTAAGTTAGTTCAAATGTCATGCAATATTTAAAATTTAAAACATTATGGAAAAACAGAATTAAAGAAAGTTGAAAAATATTAAGTCAATCCGTGTTTTATTTCAATGAGCATAATAATAATGAAAGCAACAACAGTGGATACCAATAAAGTACAAATTTAATTGATAAATTAAACATGAAATGGTAAGTCCCATGCAATTGTGATTTATTCGATTCAGCGTTAGCAACAAGAAAAACAAGTCGCCAGCCACACTCTGTTTTCAATTACTAGCATGAAAAAAGGTGGAATGCATTAAAACCACTAATTGACTGTTAACACTGAAACTGCCCAAAAAACAATTGTTAACGTAAATACATCCATTACCAAGCGTATGTAAACGGTCGAATTAAGGCCCACATTTGTGTGTAGTTTCAGTCATTTTTAACGTCACGATGGAAGTAGAAAAAAACGGTAAAAACAAATCAATTAGAAGGATATAAAAACGATTATGAATCAATTGATAACAAAATAACAAATCGCGTGTGAAACAAGGTTATATTAGGGTGAACCTAGGGGTTTTTTACTCTTTTTCATATATGCGATTTGTACGGATAAACGCGCATAGATTGTGTGCCACAGTGAAGTGTGCCGAATTTTCCACATAGTCACGAATATTACGCATAGAAGCGAATACGCGTGCACATAATGACGCCACGATGCGATTTAAGACGTATCAACACAATTTCAACATTCTATTGTATCGTTAAGGTTCGTTCGAACAATATTTGACCTCAACAATTTCTGTCTTTAATATTTATCAAATCTCTTGATAATGAGATTGTTCTTATTTGATGAAAATTGAATTTAAATATAACACAAAATTAAAATATAATAGCAAAGAATAAGAATGAAAACGAAAATCAAAATGTTATAGTATACAAATATTGAAGTAAAACCGCCGATAGTTTTGGTAGATATAAAAATCATTGAAAAAATAAGTGCGACGACTCATTATACTTGGAAATAGCATCTGGATTATAAATAATAAAAAAATCCATATGTACAAATGATTGAAGTTACCAAAAATGATCAGCAAAAAATGTGAGCCGAAATAAGTACAAATCAAAGTATTTCTTGAATTTTTACATGAAAAAAATCGTTGCAATTTTGAATTCAAAATAGTCGATATTGTGGCGTGTGACCAATCAGAGAAGGAAACATTTTAGTAGGATTCATGCGAAATTATTCGCAGTATGAATGGTCTATGTGCAGTATTCGGACATCGAATGTGTGCACTTCTAACGAATAGGCACCGCATAATACGCATTGTACGAAGAAATCGGCACATACTATGAGTTGAAGCGCATATTCTTCGCATAAAACGAATTTTTTTCGAGTTAAATGCCCCTAGGGGTGAACATTTAAAGTAAATTTTGGGAGTTAATTTGACTACAGTTACTACGAATTTCAACGTCATAAATGGACCCACCTCGAGTATCATTCAACTGTACGCTTCACTTGAACTAGGTCCATTTATGACTTTGGTAAATATTGGTGTGGATATTGAAATTGACCAACTGACTGAGAAAATCTTACATACAACAACTTACCTACGGGCTTAACCCGTATTACATCGTGTATTTGCACACACATTTTAATGTACAAAGCCACAAAAATCAAGCTTTGAAACTAACTAATCGTTAATATTTCATTTTATCCTCTTAATCTACGCTCTACTTTTCATCGACAGCATTTGATTGGCCATCTCGATTGGCCATCTCGACATTTTGGCCACATCCTTTCTGGTGGTAACACAAATGATTCGTGCATATTCAAGTTGAAAACCATACAACGGCCTAGAATGAACGAATTGAACTCGAAATTGAAATACAATAAAACATGAATGTGATTGTATTGTTTAGATCACATACCTCTGTACAAGATGCACTTCGCCGCACAGATGTCACGATGCCAAGTAACAGTAGAAGCGTTTTGATCATTCATTGGGTTTGAGTGCCAGTTTTTCTGGAAGGCTATTTTCTTTGACCCCAATAACCCAAATCCTGTATCATTTGCATCGAAATGTATTCGCTGCAATGATTTTTGACACGAATCTTGCAAATACTTGTGTCCGCTTCCGGTTGTTTGGTTACTTTACGGCTGCGATGGCCTGCAACTCGACGTCGTTGACGTAGTTCACGCCGTCGTATGCGTCGATTGTACCGTCTCACTGCCTGTTCGGTATCCAATTGCTCTGGATTGTGGCTTTCACGCTCACTTCGACGCTTTTCCCGGTGCTTCCCAGGTCTTTCGGCTCTAGTTTAATTTGCTGTTGGCTTTTGGCTGGCATTTTGTTTTCGATCACGTTGCTTGCGCCGTCTGCTTCGATCAGTCACGATAAGCGATGGGAGTCTCACATCCTTGTGTGGGCGACAATCTTTGCACACTTTGAATCGGTCACTTTTTGTGCTTCTTGGAAATCGCCGCAAGCAATTGGCACAGGTTTGTGATGTATACGGCTCTGGTATAAGCACAACATCCGTTTCGCCGTCCTTTTTTAGGCTAACTATAAACTTTCGCTGATCCGGTGTTCGTTTTGTTCTTTTCACACCGATTTTCGAATCTGATGGGAACGCCGCATCACCAAGGAACACAACTCCTGTCTCATTCTTTGTTATGTGTTGAGCCATCAAATCCATTTCGCGATTAGACTCGATGTACTTGTGCAACGATAGCTGTGCGTATTTTCTTCTGGCGTATCCCAATGAGGAAAACGTGACAGTTGTACACATTTTGTGCACGGCCAATGTAATTTCTCCATAAGCTGTGCACAAAATGTGTACAACTGTCACGTTTTCCTCATTGGGATGTAGCCAATGAATCGGTCAGCATTTTGATTTTGTGCTTAATGAATGATTTCCATTGTGATCCTCGCGGCGATACGGATGTGATCGGATAGCTATTCAAGTCGCGCTGTTCTTTGTGCACATACTTCCTGGTCATTTTCGTGGCCTGTTTGTCACGCATTCCTTGCCGCGCACCCCAGTGATATTGAATACTCGATAATTTGATGTTGGTCTGTGAAATGAACAACAACAATGCAAATCTATGTTAATTTTCATATGATATTTCAACTTACTTCAGTTCCAGTAGCGAGAGTCCGACGCACGCAGGCCATTTTTGTTTTCTGGCCGGGATCAATTCCTGATTCATACTTGTAACCGCCTTTGCTGACTGGCTTTTCGTACTTTGCCTTGATTTCAGACAGAGTCACGCCGGCTCCTTTGCGTTTGGGTCTGCTAAACAACACCGACACGGCACTACTGTTGGTTTGGATTTTGTGGTAAAACTCTTTCGAACCGGTTCTGAGCTGTCTGATTTTGTCCATATCGAACACAATTCCCCATGCCTCGTCTTTGTTCTCGCCTTGCTTGTAGTATGTACGATAATCAGCACGGATATTCCATCCCCGTTCATTTCTCAACTGGCCAATGATAGCAATCAAATCATGATGGTCGAATGGTATGTGCTTCAGTTTTGTATCACTGAGTGGAATAGCGGCGAAATTCTTCACTTTTGGTATCTTCGGTACCGACGGCTCTCGATTGTTCACTGGATCACGATCGTATGCTTTCCAATGTTGACGAAGGTGAGCCGTATCGATCAAAAATTTCTCGATAATGCGTTGAATGCCTATCCACATCCACAAAGACTCGGACCAGTCCTTTTGAATGTATTCGTACATCGTGAAGTATTTTACGAATGATGGGCCACAAAGCTCAGACACTTCCTTAAACAGTATATCCATCTTCGACTTTCGACTTTTATCATCATCAGATGTCCAATCTTCATTGTACATCAAATTTTTCATCGTATTTCGAATGTCAATGTCATCGAAAGGCAAGTATGATGCATTATAAATAACCTCAAGTGAGCTTCCTTTGTGATTGAATTCATGGCACTTTACACGTAGAAAGTGGGTCAATCTCACCCAACAGTACGTCTCCAAATTTGTATTCACATTGGCCACATACTGGTCCTTGAGAGCATAAACTTGACGGGTCATTTGATGGCGGCGTGGCCATTCAAAGTTGGGGCTACCTTGTGTCACCATCGCGAGAAATGCGTCTGGCATTTGGGCTGTGAGTGGATCTTTGATGTTGTCCGATGTGACACAGTTGAAACAGTCTGTAATCAAATTTGCTCCATTTTGATTCACGAAGAGGTCCAAATTGTCATCATCAAATGCTTCGTTGATTCTGTAGAGCATTAACATCGATGCAAGATGCATGACTTCCGTAGCATTCAAGCATTTCTCGAAGAACTTATGGATCAGAAATCCTCTTTCTGTTTCTGTTAAGTTCGGATTAATTATCGAATTAAATGCCAATTTGATCGCGCCGATTTCGATTGTGCCATTTTCTGTCGACTGTTTTGTTGAATCTTCTTTCCGATTGGCACGTTTTTTCTTCACAATGGAGTGCTTTTTCATCTGCACTTTGTTCTCCCTTGGCCTACCAAACGTCTTATTGTGCCGCTTACGCCTCGCCATCGCGATGGATCTAAACGAGAGAAAATAAATTGTAGATTGAATGAAATGTTTGTTGCAAGCGATTGTGAAATTGGCTAACGCTACGGAAATCGAAAACAATGCACTGATTGATCGCTTTAAACGAATACGATAACAATGTGATGATATTCATCAGTCCGTCGCCATAAATCATGTCGAAACATGTACACCACACGCAAAAACATGATTTTACGCTAATTTGTTGCAATTTTCTACGTTTACTAAACTCACCTCGGTCACAATAAGTCCACTTCGTATGAATCCAAACGATTTGAATAGATCAGGCTTCGTTTGCTCTCTGTCTCCCTGTCTCAATGCGGATCTCGCCTCAAAATTGCGAAATAATCTTTGGGAAAAAAAACCACAATCCATTAATTGTAATTGGTAACAAAAAAAAATGGGAAAACTTGTTGTGATCGAATAAATTTATATTGATTTATTCGCGTCAATCAATGCAATCGGTCTAGAATATTGCGATTTTTCCCGCTTTGAACATGTCATTGAACATGAAAATGTGAACCGGTATGACGAAACAACAATTTCACAACAATTTCCAAAATAATCCACAATTTAATGTGCAAAAACTCTATTCTTAGCCGTACATACCTGTAAAAGGGTTTTGGTCTCGCAATTAAAGCAGCTATTTCGCAAAAAAAAATGCCTTTTTTCGTTGAATGTTCACTCAAAAAAATGTGCGCCAATTTCTTGTCAATGTTCCTACACCAATGAGCCGCTGTGCTGAGTGACATTTGCAAAACGAATCGTTCGGCGTCAATGTTTCATCCTTTGAACACCACATTTGCATGGCGTGACGGTTGCTGCGTCAAAACTGCTGTTTTACGAATTGGAGACAGAAAGGGAAATCTCCAAAGAGAAGCAAAATGTTTTTGCTTCGACAGTCGTACGACAATACGAATATATAAACAAACAAAAAATGGAACGGACCATTTTCAATGCATTTTTCTTGGACAAAATGAGAAGAAGTTCCAATGACATTATAAACAAAATGATTATTATATCGTGCATATTTCTAGAGCTAATGAATAGTTTGAAGATTTCAAGTGACATTTACAATTGAAAATGTTGCACAACGGTTCTGATTTCTCAATTGATTCAAAAATGAAAACTATCAAATCTGTTGTACATATATAATTCTCAGTCAGTCAGTCAGTTTTCACACCCATTATTACCGTCACAAATGGATGTGATTCGAGTGTAGCGTACAGTTGGATGATACCCGAATTTCATCCGATTCGGACGGGATTGTATGTGAATTAATGGTCAAATGCACCACTGAAGTGGGCAAAAGCATTACTTAATTTAACGGTAACTGAAACTGTATCAGCAGACTAATTCCGATTGCCCGCTTGCGAGTGACACAGCAATTGCAAGTCCAAACATATACAATTCAAGATCAAATTCATTCGAAACGGATGCATGCAAAATTCACTCGGTCGCAGTTTGCGATGGAATGGAGAAAAAATATGGGGAAGTGGAAGAACTATTGGGCAGATATATATGTGTTTATCATTGAACCATTAACTCGGAGAAATTAAGTAGAAATCTTCACAATTTTACATCACATGTCAATATTTTTGTATGGATAATAAAATTGTAAATATAGAGATCACCAAAAAAATTTCTGTTTTTTTCGACATGAATAGATAGATTCATATTTGGTATCTTGACTTGAACTTTGGCAATGACGATTTTGATTGCTTCAATGCACATTTGAAGTGAACTTAATATTTTTGACAAATGCAAGTTCAAGCATGTGTACAAAATTCCATAATGCTGTCGCTCGACAATATTACACGCACCGATTTTCCGTTTCGTTTGGGATCGCCCTTAGCCCATAGATTCTGACACCAAAAATTTCAGGTAGGGTCAAACCAAAAATTCCTTTTGGGGGCAAAAAAATCAATTCTGTCTAGTGTTAAATGCGGAGGTGGAAGCAACCCGTAGTAGGCTTGCTTACTCGAGCAGGCAGTTGCCTTGCTTGCTGCTCACTTGAAGTAGACTCGGATCAGAGTAAGTTGCACGAGCAACTGATCCAACCGAGTCGACTCCAAGTCCAAACTTGCTCGAGTAAGCAATTACTAAACAGAAAATAGAAAACTTACTTGATAAATTCAAATAAACGAAAAAGAATATGATAAACCCTCCTTCATTCACGTATTTAAAACCCTTAGATCGCTCACCTCGGGTCTGGCTGGACCCCTATGTATTTATATGCATTTGTATGGGAATAAGGTATGCATGCCATCTTATTTTTCATGAGACTGATAAAAGATAAGTGATAACTGTCAAGTTATACAATTTTTTTCTATCCGCCATTTCCTTATCTCTTATCAGTTCCGCGAAAAATGATAAGAGATATCTCGCGTTTTTCGCGATGTTTCGCGATAATAATCAAAGAGATAGCGAATTTATGCTCTGGGCAAATCTGTAGTACTTTATCTGCCCTACCACTTTGTCGGAGACAGTTATCACTTATCTCTTCTTTATTTCGTTATCAGTTACGCAAAAAATGATAATCAAAACTATCCATCATGCTAGCGGTCTTCTGCGGTTTTTCGCGTATTTCACGTAACTGATAAGAGCAACACTGTCTATCAGATTTAACTTAAATGTTCCCTTCGGGGCAAAAGTGAGGAGCAGAAAAAAAGGTCCTCACTTTTGAAAACAAAGTCGGAAAATGACTATGGATCCAAAAAAATTCGTTGGACGAAAAATTTCGCCAGCGAGCTGGAAGTGAAACTTGTGGAGCATGTGGACCCGACCTGGTCCAATGTATTCTGAAAGTAAAGTCCTCCAGTACGCATCCCTTTCGGATGCTAAATCGCATTATTTTTGCCGAATTTCGCTCGGAACACCACCAAATTTGAGTTGGCAAATCCGGAAGAGAATATGAACTTTGTACTGCAGATGCGTTACAACAACGCAACGCATGAACAGTATCGGATAAATTTATTTGATATTTTTAATTTATTTGAATAAATCTATGTGCAGACATTCCCTGCCCAGGAAGAAAGACTATGGAAAGACCTGGTATTGCAATGTGCGTCACAGTGAATATTCTATGTCATTATTATTCGCCGACATTCCAACTCACAAACCACACCGATTGGGTGGTATTGTTCCTGATTTGAACATACTCAGCGATTTTTTTCTTCTCTTATTTCTGTCTTTTTGGTGGCACCATCAATAAAAATGTATTCATGTAGAAAATGCAGGCAAAAATTTCTTGATGAAATATCAAATTGCAGAAAAGGAAAAAGCAAATTGAAGTCGTTCAAAAAGGTTTTTATCGCAAAACTTGGCCGAAAATATTTGTGTTATTGGTATGACGTGATCGCCGTAACATTCGCTAATCTAGAACCGGCGAACTTATCAATTATGTGATTAAAATAACGAAGAAAATATCGCTAAAAAAGGATCCCACTGTGATTGGTAAAAATTACCCTATAAAAAATGTCGCACGGCGCACGAATCTTCCACAATTTTGCTTTGTGCTTTAAATTCGTAAATTTCCGTCCAAACGTTAGCTCGACAGAATGTACCAGCGAACTCGTCGCGGCCAAACGAAACGATTATTAATTGAGAATTCGTTTGGTGTATTGTACCAAAAGCCGGTAAATTCATATAGTCACCTCAGTGACTAAACGAATTCAAAATAATTTCGGTAGAATTTTTACATTTTTATTCCGAATGAACATGTGCGATCAACATCGAAACCAAACTATTTTGGCCAAGTTTTTTTTACCGTGAAGAAAAAAAGAGAAATCCACATAAAAAAAACCGATCGACACACCGATATCGAAGTGAGTCATTTTATTTCGTTTGGAAAAGTCGCTAATCTTGTTCGCCACATAAGAACGTGATATGAAATCGGAATTCAAAATAGTCGAATGGCGATGACAGTTTGTCACATGGTTTATGCGTCAAAAATGCTGCGTGCATACGAAATTATCCAAAAAATTGTAATGTCCATTTGTTGTGGTTTGATGTAAATGTTCGTTTAATTGGAACTGAACAATAAAAAATGTTCGTAGAAAATAACCGTTTATGATGGCGAAATAGCCGAGAAAGAACACATTAATCACAAGGTGAATCAAATAAAACACTCTCCATCCAAATGCTGCGCTTTAATCAAATTTACACCGCCGCCACCGACATCGTCTGATTTGCATGCGCATTCTTCTTTTGTTCCACAAGCCAAACTGTTGCCATTCGATTTTTTATACAATAATTTAGCGACAATTTTTCGCATCAATTCGTTTGTGTCGTTTGGCTTTCTCTATTCAGATCGAACAACATTTTTTCGAAGACGAAACTCGATGTAAATCGTTTGTGGTCGCATACTTTTTGGTAACAGAGCAACCAATATAGAAAATCACATAAACCTATGATTTACATTTCGTGGAATTGAATAATGAAGAGAGAAAGAGAAACAGGCAGCATAGCATACCAAATGAGAAACATGAGCGATGGACTGAGATCGAGTACGAGAGAGCGAGAGACAAAAATTGTTTGAAGCAGCGGCCGCGCGAGCACCAAAAACTGGTTTCTGCGTGTAACACACATTTTTCTGTGTTCGTCGTCGTCGTCGTCGTTCTTTCTCTTTTTACCGTCAATTCTTTTCTTTCTCAAAGACATCCAGCGATGTCTGCGTCACACGCACACACTCATGCGGTTTGGTGTGCTAAGATTGAGTTGACTACGAGCAGCAGCACGTTTATGCTGTCGATTATGAAATAAGAATTTGTAACAAACAAAGGAACATTTTGTTCGCCTACGAAAATACACACAATCAACTGTGTTTTACACCGGACAATATGATGCAAAAACGAATACTCACTCTCACAGCGATGTCAAGTGTCATCTGATTTGTAAAAATTGCTAATTAGTTCGGTCGAAGGAACTTGAAAGTTTACATCATCTAACGAATTTTCAACCGGATTGTCGTTGTGCATCGAATGATTTTTTTTCTTCGTTTTCAAATTAAAAGCGAATTCTGTTTTAGAACTTCAACTTTTCAAGTGAAAATAAAGCCAAAAATTGACGAACGGATATGGCGGACAGTGAAGATCATCGTGAAAAGAATATTTTGCTGGCCAAAAATCTCAATGAAGTGAAAATGGATCTTCGGTGCAAAAAAAAAGATATTGCATCGCTACAAACGCAACTCCGCCTGGAGCAACAACGAAATTCCAAACTGGAAATGGATCAAGTGTCAATTTTGGATCGCATCGATACACTCAAAAGGCAGCTGGACGATACATTTCTGAAAAACACTTTGGGCTACATGAACTTGTCGAAGCAAATCGATGAAATGCACCAGGACAGCATCCAAAACATTAGCGATATTAGCATGCTGAGCCCATTGACCTCGGCCAATTCGATGCAATCATTATTTCTCAAGAAAATCAAAATGTTGAGCGAATCATTGACATCAAACGTTGATAATCATGAGGCAAGTGGTAGTAGCTCAAAATTGGCGAACAGTCGACACTCACTGAGCTTCAACTCATTCGAAATCGGGATGAACTCGACATTTGTGACTAACAAAGAGGAAAGTGTCAAGGATGCTGACGATGAAGATGAAGATTCAGAGCTCAATCGCACATTTTTAACCGAACAACCGGAAAACCAGAGCCAAGAAGAGCCCCGTCCATTGCAAGAAATCAAACCACGAACGCTACTGTGTGAAGAGGCAAGAAACACCAATATTACGATGCGCCGAGCCAACAGAACGGTAAAAGTCGAGACACCAAAAGTGCAAACCAAAATCACCAAGTATCGTTCTCGTCGCCACAAGGAAAATCGCTCCGACATCAGCCCATTGTTGAAGAAGATGGTTTTGCGACGTGCCAAGAAAATCGACTACAG